TCTCACTCTTTTGGTGGTGTTTGTAAACTGGATCAGCATTGTAGCAGGCTGCTGCCTCAACCACCCACCTTGGCCCTTCCTGCCACGAAGGAAAGTTAAGGCAAACAAAAGTATGAGAGAATGAGGAGGCTGTCGACAATAGCAAGCATGCGGGAGCTTATTCCTTTGTAAGGCACACAGTTCAATCTACTTCTGCTGAGGACACCAGAAAGCTGGAAAACCTGGATTACCATGCAATGTTACTTAACAGCAAGTATATTTCTTGAATGGCTGAGCTTGGAAATTGGGGGGAGGTAGGGATATGTTATGCATCTAAAAGACAAGAAAGGAGGAAATGTTTCAAAGTGTAGAGAAAAAATATCTTTAAGCAGGAGGGAGAAAGCTCAGAACCCCAGGAATGGAGAAAGGAATATTCTGCAGGCTTTAGACATGACATTAGCCCAAAAGAGGACATGGCTGTATAAGTGGCCAGAGGTACAGAAAACCTCAAAACAAAGAAAAAAAACTAAATGGCACAATTTTTTGTTTGCTTGTTTGGTGGGGGGCGGGGGAGGGGGGATTGGTCACACCACATACTGTGTGAGATACCAGTTCCCCAACCTTCAGAGGTTGAACCCATGCCCTACCTTCAGAGGAAGCATGGAGTCTTAACCACTGGATAGCTGGGGAAGTCCCATAAGTGGCACAAGTTTTCAATGATGGAAAGGTGGAAGAAGAGTAGCCTGTTACCCAAGCACACATGTGCACACCAGTGTTGTCCCGGGAAATGTTTAGCAATAGCTCTTCCAAAAAAGCATGCATCCATATGCATAAGGTCATTATAAACTTTACTAGGAATAAGTGCTTGATTATTTTTATTACTGTTGATACTGAAGAACGTACTATCAATTACTAAAGATACTAAAGAAAGTTGCTTAAAAAAAAAAAAGTTGCTTATATCACTGGGCTATGAGTTCAGATCCAACATGAATATAAGTTGGTATTTTATATTCCTTAACAAGTAAGAGAAATGTGAAATGACAAAGGCATGTCAGAACTTAGATCATCCACGATGATGTGTAAGATTTCTTTCCTGAATCAGAAAACAGATTTTAAATACTGGAAGAGTATTTCCTCAATGTTTTGTGCTATTCACAATGGAACAGCCACAGACACAACACACTTTTAAATTGAACTTGCAGTATTGCCATTTCTCTATCACCTACTTAAGACTAAGCAGTCAACAAAACAATAAGTCAAGTCTTGACTGATTTATAATAACTAATAACTAATATAACTAATTTCAACCTACCAGCAAGATGTCACTGAAAGAAGAGTTGAGGAAAGATACACAGTAGCACACTATTATATAGTATTTCCATCAGACATAAATAATAGACATAATAAATAACCACATGTGTAGAAAATAACATTTTTTACAATAAGTGGTCATAGATAACTTCTGGAGTCCTACAATTTCCTAATCTTCATCATGCCTTTGAATCTGATGGATCTGCTGTTTCCAATTACATTTTTTCATTGTTTTTGTTGTTTAGTCACTAAGTCATGTCTGACTCTTTTGTGACCCCATGGTCTCTAGCCCACCAAGCTCCTCTGGCCATGGGATTTTCTGGGCAAGAATATTGGAATGGGTTGCCATTTCCTTCTCCAGGGACCAAACTAACCCAGGGATCGAACCCGCGTCTCTTGCATAGGCAGGCTTGCATTGGCAAGCCACCAGGGGAGCCTATGTCGAATAATACATACTTTGCAATAGAAAACAAAGTAAACCTGCTTGCCTAGAAAAGCAAGGAAGAAAAAGCAAAGCCTGTGAAAAAAATGTGCAAAAGAATGGAAGGAGGTGTATGTAAAGAGGGAGCTTGGTGCCCAGCACATTCAAAGAGCACCCATTGGTGACAGTAAGCACATCAGTCATAATAGATGGAGAAGAAGATGATACCCATGATTCTACTATCTATGAGATTATTTACTATAGGGACAAGGAAAAAAATTTAGACATAATTTTGCATATTTAAGATAATGAAAAAACTTGACCTCTAAGGTACAGGCAGAGAAAGCAATAAAGATAAGTAAGGGCAATATCTCAAGATTTACAAGGCAAAAGAGTATTAAAAAATGACTTAGAAAGCAGGAAATGCAACAGTACCATTGCAGAAAATGACATCTGTGACATGGAATACACACTTGAGATTTCCTTCTGGACTGCAGTAAAAAAGATGACAAATGTATAAAAACATTAAAAATAAGAAAATGATAAACTTGTAAACAAAGATTAGAAGTACAAATTTAAAACTACAGATATTCCCAGGTGTAGCTGGGGGAACGGGTGGAGCGTGATACTTCAGACATACACATACACACACACACACATGCGCACACATACACACAAATACACACATACATCCCATAGTATCAGAGAGAGATCAGTCAAAAAATTTAAATGGAGCTGTGTAGTAGGCAGGAGAATGCCTCACACAAAGTCCATCCTAATTCCTGGAATTTGTGACTATGGAAAGGTGAATTAAGGATGCAGTTGAAATTAAGGTTGTTATCAGTTGATTTAAAAATAGAAAGATAAATGTAGGTTATCTGGGTGGGACCAGTGTAATCACAAGGGTCCCTAAATGTGGAAGAGGGAGAAGAGTCAGCATCAGAGTGTTACCAATAGAACGTGTGGGGTCCGGCGGCTCGCTGTCCAAGAAGCCAATAAACAGGCTCGGTTGGTGGAAAGGAAAGTTTGCTTTATTTCAGAGGCTGGCAACTGAGGGAGGTGGGTGGAGGACATCTGTCCAAAGGCCAACTCATCCCACTGGCAACCAGTGGGGCAAGAGCTTTTATAGGGAGAAGGAGGGGGCTACATGCAGAAACAGCACACCTGACAGTCATCTTCAAATTGATCATCGGTCATCTGATCAGAGTCATCTTGATTACTTTAGGTACAGTTGTTCTTCAGTTCCAAGGTCCATTTGAAAAGCTGATAAACGAACCACCTTGCCTTCTCTAAATGCAAGCACCATTGCTGCTAAGATGGGTCTCCTGACCACGGGATGGTGGATCTCACTCTTTCGGTGGTGTTTGTGGAGGACATCTGTCCAAAGGCCAACTCATCCCACTGGCAACCAGTGGGGCAAGAGCTTTTATAGGGAGAAGGAGGGGGCTGCATGCAGAAACAGCACATCTGACAGTCATCTTCAAATTGATCATCGGTCATCTGATCAGAGTCATCTTGATTACTTTAGGTACAGTTGTTCTTCAGTTCCAAGGTCCATTTGATTCATTTCTCTGAGGCCAATTCTTATAACTGTGGCATCTCGTGTTCCAGGTACAGTCTAGTCATCATGTGGTTAACATCTCCACCTGGTGTTTCAGTATCTACAAGACAGCTCACAGGATATGGCTCGGAATATTATCCACATCCCTTGAGAAAGAACTAAAGGTCCTTGACCATGCTTGATGACTACAATATTATTATTAAATCTCCTTTGACTGTTGTCCTTTGTTTCTGCATTTCTCATTTCTCATTTCTCTGATTAAACTTATTCTTTGACTAAAGTTTTCCACAGACAAAAGGCAGACAGATGACACGGTGAGGGGGCAAAGACCATAGCGTCCTGCTCCATTTCAGCTATATCACTTTACATTCCCATCAGCAGTGCCTGAGAGTTCTGGTTGCTGCACATCTTCATCAAATGCAGTATTGTAGGTCTTTAATTTTAGCAGCTTTAGTGGAAACATAATCGGTATCTTGTGGTTTTCACTTGCATTACCCCAATGAATGATAGGACTTCCCTGGTGGCTCCGTGGCAAAGAATCCACCTCCAGTGCAGGAAACACAACAGATGTGGGTTTGATCCCAGGGTCAGGAAGATCCACTGGAGGAGGGCATGGCAATCCACTCCAGCATTCTTGCCTAGAGAATTCCATGGACAGAGGAGCCTGGTGAGCTACAGTCCACAGGGTCACACAGAGTTGGACACGACTGAAGTGACTGAGCATGATGACTAATAACTTTGAGCACTTCATTTATGTTTTCTGTGGTGTGTGCTGTGATTTTTGGATTAAAGACTTCATCCTTTATCTTATACTTTCAGTAAGATACAGTTTGAGCCTTTGGTTCATGTACTTTCAGGGCTGTTGGTTGGAACTCTCTTTGAGCACATTCACTAAGGCCAGACCCATGGCCACTGATTTCACATCAAATAAGGGTAATAATTGAAGAAAGAAATGGCAACCCACTCCAGTATTCTTGCCTGGAGAATCCCATGGACAGAGGAGCCTGGCAGGCTACAGTCTTTGGGGTTGCAAGAGTCAGACATGACTTAGCTAAACCACCACCACCATGGTGTGTGCGCATATATGTGTGTGTGTGTGTGTGTGTGTGTGTGTATTCCTTTGTGTAGTGTTTGTTTGAGTTTTTGCCCATGTTTAATTGCATTGTGCCTTAGTCAATTAGGGCTGCTACAATAAAATGCTATACACTGGGTAGCTTAAAAAGAACAGAGACATTTTTCACAGTTCTGCAGGCTGGAAAGTCCAAGATAATGGTTCCAGCATGGTCTCTTTCTAGTTGATTAGATCCTCCGATCTCTGCTTCATCTTCACATTGCCTCCTCCTCTGTTTGTATGTATGAAATCTTCCTCCTGTCAGGATACATGTAATGGCATTTAGGGCCCACCTGAATAATCTAAAATACTCTCCTCAGATGAAGATCCTTACTATAACATCTGCAAAGACCCTTTCCCCAATTAAGGTAACATTTACAAATTCCAAGAATTCAGACCTGATATATACACAGGTGTCTTTGTAAGTATATAAAAACACAATCATTTTTTATATTTACCTTTGTGGGACTCAACCCATTGAATATTCCTACTGGCTTATTTATTTTTTTCTTACGGTTTTCAATGTAAACAATCAATTGAAAATGTTATGCCTTGTATTTCTTTTTCTTGCATTATTTCACTGCATGTAATACTTTTAGTCTTAAAATATAAACTGAAATGGAAACGGAAAGGTTTGCATTTANACATCTTGTGCAGTTTGTAAGCAAATAATGTAGAGGGTCTGGAAACAGAAAATCAGGTATGGATTTCTTGGCACGAGAAGTCGTTTCTGGCCTAAGCCGTTTTGTGATCTAAGCCTGGCCACAAAGCTTGTCCTCAGGTCTCAGGAATTAATGATCTTAAGGGAACAGAAAACTGGACCATAAAGAAGGCTGAGAGCCAAAGAAATGATGCTTTCAAATTGTGATGCTGGAGAAGACTCTTTAGAATCCCTCAGATTGCCAGGAAATCAAACCAGTCAATCCTAAAGGAAATCAATCCAGAATATTCATTGGAAGGGCTGATGCTGAAGCTGAAGCTCCAATATTTTGGCCACCTGATGTGAAAAGCCAACTCATTGGAAAAGACCCTGATGTTGGGAAAGACTGATGGCAAATAGATAGCATCACTGATTCAATGGACATAAACCTGAACAATCTCCGGGAGATGATGAAGGACAGGGAGGTCTGGAGTGCAGCAGTCCATGGGCTCTTGAAGAGTCAGATAAGACTTAGCAACTAGACAACAATAACAACAAAAGTGAACAAAATGAAAGAATGCAGAAATAAAACTGTTATCAGGCAAGAGAAGCAACAACGCATCAGTTGTCAACACTTCCAGTATCTCGTTCACTGCTAAAGGTTAGCCTGAAGCCTCAACCATCAGATCAACTGGAATCTAAGGAATGATGATGTTGACCTTTTCTGACCCATGTGACTCCAATCAACTAAAGCTTAGACACTGTTAAGTGACTGAGCCCCTTCATGAATATACATGTACCCTTAGCTTAAAACTTCCCCAGCTTTCTAAGAAAGGATGCATTGCTTTGGGAAAGATTCCCAGTGGTCTCATCACATGGCTGCAAGTAATAAAATCTCCGTTTTCCCCAGCTTTGGCTTGGTTGTGTCTTTCAGCTCAACATTCACCAAGAGGAGAACCCAGTTGTTGGGGGAACAGATTCAGCAGGCTAAATGCCTAGAAGTAAAATCACAAAACAAGAGTTTTGTAAGATGCAAAGATAACCCATACAGGAAAGGAGTTGCCATTATTTGGTTTCCATTTTCCCCCCATTAAAACAACTGGGGCTTAACAGTAACAGAGGACTTTTTGCATAACTCCAGAGTTCTACAAAAAGATAGTTTGTACAGATCAGTACAGCAAGTTTCTATTTGCTGTTTTCATTAACACAGTCACCACACTAAACATAATAAAGAAAATTCCCATGGTCCTTCATGTGGGAAGTTTACTAACAAAGGCTGGGTCTATACTCAGTGTCACTTTGAAGGAATGGATATTGACTTCTGTTCAGTTCAGTTCAGTCATATGGGCCCGTTTCCACATAAAACATGAAATGGTAAGAGCTGTAAGGGGAAAAAAGATATTTAAAGTTATAGAACTGCCTTAGACTACTGGCAGAGATAATAGATAGAGATGGGGTCCAGGATTGCTTAAGATCTGGAAGCCTTCATTAAAATGCTGGGAGGAGGAAACAACAAAGGAGACTGAGGAGCAGCAGTCCTGGAGAAAAGGTTAGTGTGGGTCCTGAAAGCCAGGAGAGTGCTGAGTATCCAATATTCTGAGATGAACGTGAAGCAGTCCAGTAACCACTGGCAATATGAAATTGTTGGTGGCTTTTGACAACAGCAATATCAACAAATTAGTGAAATTAAAAGCCAGATGACTGCCAGTTAAGGAGTGAATGAACAAAATTATTTTTGATGCCTTTATAAACTGCACATGCATGTTTCAAGCTCGCCTAATTCATGAGTTTCTCTTGGATCTCCTTCAGATTCTAAAGCATTTAACCCGTCCAATACTCCTCTCAGGCTCCCGAGATTGCTCTAAGTTTATGAATGTTTTTCCTAAACAAAGCCGTCATACAAAGAAGCAGGGCAAAAGGGCAGCAGTGGGTTTTCATTACTCTATTCTATTGGTCTATCCCTGTATTAACTCATTCTGTATTCCCTAGCCGCCTCTATGCTCCAGCAATATTAAATTTTCTTAAATTGGTAGCCTCCCGGTGATAATTTATCACCTGTATTTCGCGCCTTTCAGTCCCTGTCCTGCACCTCCACCTTTCCGCTCCTCAAGAATTTAACTTGAGAGGCACTAAGTTCCCAGTTCCACCCCGGAAACAAAGAGGGCGGGGTAGGGAGAGGGGAGGGGGAAATAAAGTGGTTCCTACAGGGGCTTTGAGTGCATGCGCGAGTCCACCGCCGGACCGTTTTTGCTGCCCTCCTGGAAGAGCGGGGCGGAGGTTTGGCCGACGGACCGAGTACGGGTGCCGAGCAGGCTCTTACGGAAGTCCATTCGCCATTGGGAGGGCCGCAGAGGCTGCTCTGTGCCCTTGTTGCTGCGGGCCTCTTCCTGGGTCATTCCCGGAGCAGGACCGGACTGGGGTTGACACCAGGGCTCCCCGCTGGCCGCCTCGGCGCCTGTGTGACCTCCTCGCCGGCGGGATGTGGCGAGTTCGCCGGGCTGCCGTGGCCTGGTAAGTCCGGGCTCCGACCTGGCCCCGTTATTTCTGGGGCGTCCAGAAAACGGGGCTGCCCCATCACTACCTCCAGAGTGTGCAGGTAACTCTCAGGCCAGGAGGAGGGCAATTGGATGGTTCCGGGATATTTCTGAGGTCCGAGAGTGACTGGAGCCCTGACTGGGTTTACCTGAGATGCTGGCCCCAGTACTGGCCCTTGTCCCTATTCCCCTCGGGAAGATTCTGGGCCCATTTCAGTCTTGGCCTGTTGTTTCTGTTGTCCTTTTGTACCTGCCACTTCACCCTTCTGTCCTCGCTGTTATATCTGTCTCTGGTGGCTTCTGGTTTCTGTTCCCTCTCTCTTCGGGCTCTCTGGTGCTATCCATGTGTCACCTTTTCCGCGTCTTTTTCTTCTACCGCCACGCTAGGTTTACATTGCTTTTGCAGGCACCCGAGCTGTTCTGTTCGGGCAAAGAGGACTCTGCCTCTTCCCTTGGTCCACTAAAGAACATGATTTGGAGTCACATTTGGAGCAGTGACGCATACAGTGTCAGAGATGGTGATTAGAGATATTCTCTTAATAGCAGCTTTCTTTTCAGTGTTCATGGAGGGAGAGTTGTTTTTCGGATGTAAGTTGGTGAATGTAGCACCACTTTTCTAATCACCCTGTTATTGCTGACCTGGTCTGACTTAATCCTAAACCGGAAATGATAGAAGTATTTACATGTCTATGGGTTGCTATGTGCATTTTAATGAAATTAAATTTGGCTCTAATTTTTACACGTAGTTGTGTTCTGATGACCTTAAATACCTTCAGGTTTAATTTATTGTTGCAGGCATGCGATGAGAAGTAACATATATCAAGCAAAGTTGGAAAAACCTGGATTTCCTGAATTAACTCAGTCTCTAAACACCTGTCTTGAGTATTTTTTTCAGAGTGTTTTAGGTGGTGTAATTTATAATGTTTGTAAGGGATGGAATCCATTTGCTTTATGTAGGTTAACCTTGAGTCTAAATTTAGAACTGAAAAAAGCATACAATAGTTGTAGTTTTAGTCAATTAGAATACTTGAATAAATTACTTCCGACCTCATGGAATTTTAATTTCTGAGTAAGCCCTTGGTACTACACTAAGTTCTTTACAGCCTTTTTATTTCTACTTCTCAGTATTTACTGGGGAAATATATCTAGTTTTCTTTACATAAGAAGAGGAAAGACTTCAGAAAATAGCGTACTTTGTTGAATTGATTAAGATATTTAGGAAATACTTTAAAAATTGAGTTTAGAAACAAACTAGATATCAACTGATAATTATTCAGTTGGATTCTGTCAGCTAAATTGTTTCTAAAGTTACTGTTGACTCCATAGTCATGGTTTAAGATATCTTATGGTGACTGCACAGTTTAGCTGCCTGCCCAGTTAGAGATGAGGAAGGTCAGATGCCCCATGTTCTGGAGTTTGTCTTTTGATGTAGTTCCTATGAATGTTATGAAGGAGTACATTTAAATTCTTACTCTTTAACAAACATTCTTTGACGTGTACATACTCATATGTACACACTCATAGACATGTAAGAAGACTATTGACCAACATTTATTTAGGTGCAATAAGTATTTACATAAAATTGTTGAAAAAATAATTACATGCTAGGAAACAGTGTGCAGGTTAAAAGAAGATGGATAAATGGGAATAGATGATTTCTGGAGTGAGGGTCGGGGAGCCTTGTTTTGCATCACATTTGATTTTTAGTTTGGCCTAAATACAGAAGTATATATTCAAATTCTTTTCCACCATTCACTAATCATACTACCTTAGGTGAGACACAGTTTAAAAAAGCAAATTGGAAAAATAAGGATCCTTACCAGGTTTTTCTGCGAGTTAACAGTAGCATTTGTGCAAACATCTGACATAATGCCTGTCAGTTACATACCCCTTGCCCCTCACTGCCCTCCTTCACAACATAATATCAGTGTTCCTCTATTCCTTTTTCTTAAGATATTTCTAATCCCATGTAATTAAATGAAATATTTTAGCTCTTTAGAACAGGGCCTGGCTGGTAGTAAGCACTATGACTGTGTGTTGAATAAGATAGTCAAGTGTGTGTTTGTTGGTAGGAGACTTTCATTCGCTGCCAGGAAGAACAAGAGAGAAGAGCTGAGAAAGTAACATGTGCATTTAGATCCTTCTCTTTGGGGTGTTTTTTTTTTCTGTTTCTGGGGAGTCTGGTACCTGAGGTGTTAATTTTTCCTTAATTTCCATCCCTGAACCGTCTCTAGATTGTGAGACATGAGAAGGCAAAGAATAGATGTTGTGAGCTACTGGAACTTTTGTAATGAAAAGTAAAAGTTTATGTGCCCATTTTTGTATAGGTGCATCCATAATTCACATTTATTTTCTTTCTTTTTAAAACAATTTTAAGTCATTTTATCTATGTCTGTGCTGGGTCTTGGTTGCTGCACAGGGCTTTCTCTAGGTGCGGTGAGTGAGGTCTGCTCTCTAGAGTGAGGGCTCTAGGGCACATGGGTTCAGTAGTTGTAGTGCTGGACTGAGCAGGTGTGATCTCTCCAGACCAGGGGTCGAACACATGTCTACTGTATATGCAGCTGGGTCTTTACCACTAAGCCACCAGGGAAGCCCACATTTATTTTCAAGTCACTATTTTAACCTAACATTACATGAAGTCTTTTGTTATATCTACATGGCCTTCATATTTATCACTTTAATGGCTCTACAGTATCCTCTTTTGTTTATATGCCATAGTTGATAAATTTTTGCTCTTAATATTATATATTTAAGTGGTAACATTATTTTTTGCTATTACAGCACATCTTTTTTTCCAGTTTTATTGAGATATAATTGGCATACATCACTGTATAAGTTTAAAGTGAACAGTATAGTGATTTAACGTAAATACATCATGAAGTGATTATGACAATAAATTTAGTGAACAGCTATAGTCTCATATAGATTCAAAATTCAAAATTTTGAATTTTGATTCAAAATTTTAATTCAAAATTAAAGAAATAGAAAAAACATTTTTGTGATGACAATTCTTAGGATTTACTGTCTTAACTTTCATATATAGCATAACAGCTGTGCTAATTACATTTATCATGTTGTACACTACAGTCTTAGTATTTATTTTAGAACTGTAAATGTGTGCCTTTCGATTGCCTTCATCCAATTCCCCCTTCTACCGCCGTGCCTCTAGTAACCACAAATCTGATCTCTTTTCTAAGTGTGAATGTTTGGTTTTGAAGTATAATTGACCTACAACACTACATTGGGTCCTATTACACAGCATAGTGATCTGGTATTTCTATACCATTTCAAAATGATCACCATGGTAAAGTCTAGGTCAGATATGTCACTAAAGATATTTTGTTTTCAAATTTAGTTTTGATTTTTTGGGCCATGATCATAACCCACATATCGTAAATCAAGGGACAGGCTCTGGAGTCCCGCTGTCTAGGTTTGAATCCCTCCATTACTTCTTCTATCAGCGGGACCTCAGTAACTTACTTATATCTGTCTGCCTTTTCCTTGTCGGTAAAATGGGGGTGATCCTGGTACTTTTGTCCTAGGGTTGTCAGCAGGGTTAACTGAGTTAGCGCCCACTGCAGCAGTGTCTGACGCACAGTAAATGGTTAATGCCTGAGCGCTATCGTGAGACACAGTGTAATGGGTCAGCTGTGCCCTGTGTGGCTTACCTTTTGTGTATTGCTTTTTTAATATCATCTCTTTACATTGTTTTCCTGTCTGATCTTTCTCCCATACCTACTTTTCTTTCAGTGAGGTCTGCCAATCTTTAGTGAAACGCAGCTCTGGAACGAAAGGAAGTTTACCACTACAAAAACTACATCTGGTTTCACGAAGTATTTATCATACACATCATCCTACCTTAAAGCTTCAAAGACCCCAATTAAGGACATCATTGCAGCAGTTCTCTTCTCTAACTAGCCTTCCTTTACGTAAACTGAAACTTTCTCCGGTTAAATATGGCTACCAGCCCCACAGGAATTTTTGGCCAGCAAGATTAGCAGCAAGACTGTTGAAACTCCGGTATCTCATACTCGGATCTGCTGTTGGGGGTGGCTATACAGCCAAAAAGGTGGGTTTCACCTTGCTACTGCTTTTCCAGTTACTCCAGCAAATATTTTAAGGTTTCATAGCATATGTCATTTTTCTTTAGCGCAGTAGAATATAATTAGTTGTTTAAACATTTGTGTGTCTCTGTCATGTGCTAAACTGTTTTAATGGTGCTAATAGGAAAATGCTCTCAGAATCTTAGTTATTATAAGAGGTGAAAATGGCCTAATGGAAGGAGCAGTGACCTGGGAGTGAGAATACCTTGGTTTGGTTTGCAACTCTGCCGTTTACTAGGCCAGGAACGGAAGTAGGTGGCATGCTCCTGCAGCCAGTTCGTGGCAACTCTGGGACCAGAGGCAGGGTCTCCTGATCCCTGGTTTGTCTTCCCTCTATTCCTCAAATCATGTTTAACGTCAAATCATGAAAACTATTTGAAAAAGAAGTTTACTTTGAATTTTTCCATTTTCTATATTTAGTAAAGAAACATTTACATGCTTTATATGCTTGTCTGTTAATTTATTTTTAAACGAGCAAAGGCCACTTTGTTTCTCAAAATTGTGAACATAATACATTACTCTTAGCAGCTTAGCAAGTTTTAACAAAATGAATTTAGCTAGTTTTTATTTTATATGGCATTCAGATTATTTGATTGGCATACTTTCTTATCTTTTAGACTTTTGATCAGTGGAAAGACATGATACCTGACCTTAGTGACTATAAATGGATTGTACCTGACATCGTGTGGGAGATTGATGAGTACATTGATTTGGGTTTGTATCAACATTAGAATACTTTTCTTGGTTGTCTCTTTAGGAAAGAAAAATAGTTGTATTGAGATGGCTCCTTAACTCTAAATTTAAGGTTACAGCAGTTTTATTTTCATAATGAAAGTAATAGACTAGCAGAGTAACAATTGGTTAGAAACAAAAATAACCCACTGGTTCATCACTTTAATACAGCTGCCACTGTAGTTTCTTTTAATTGTACCTACTTTGTGTATGTGGTTAATATTTTACTTTCCTTTTTAAAAATTGTATAGTCATAGTGAACAAACACTTTGCTATCTTGTCTTTTGTTACCTAACACATTTGTCAGCATTTTCTACGCTGCCAAGCAGCCTTCTTGAGCATCATTTTCAGTGTTGCATGTTACTCAGAACAGCTTCACCTAACTAGCTCTCTTTGAGTACCTTGGTTACCTCTACTTTTTATTACCAAATTCCTGAAAAGCCTGCTAATGGCCAGAGTAATTTCTCCTGTTAGTCTGTCATTGTTCCTTTTTCTAGTAATAGATGAGAAACAGGTTTATTTGTGATTGCCAGTAAGTCATGGTGATCTTTAGAAAAAAAAAATTGTCTGATGAAGTTATTTTCCTCAGGTCTCTCTTTATAGACTGTGTAGACTTTTTTTAGACTTTAGCTTAGATGTATCCAGGGATGGATTTAATCTCTGCATGCACTGTTTACAGCACTTTCTTAAAGATTGTTGCATTGATAAAGATATTTACAAGAAAAGCAGTCCTTCAAATTATTTTTCTAACATTTATGAGGAGAGCTTTTTAACCTGATACATTCACCAATAATACACTGTGATGGCTACCAGCCTTGGTTCTGAAGCTAGGCTACCGAGTCTTAAACCTGACTGCACCACTTTGCTGGGTGCACAGGTCCTGTTATGTCTCTCTGTTCCATTCCTGATCTGTAAAATGGGGCTGATGAGAACTGATTTGTAGCATTTCCATGAAGATGGAACAAGTTAATGCTTTTATTGCGTTTAGACTAAGACTTAATACATATCTTTATTTGGAGAAACTTTGTGTTCTATCTTCTCCAGAGAAAGAAAAGCCCTTCTTGAATCAAAAGACACTGTAAAGTTGTACCAAACTTGGACAGAATTGTTGAGTATTTGTAAACAAAAATAAATACTTGGTCACTTTACAAATAAAGCTAGCAAAAATAAAGGCTTGTCTTGGGTTCATAGACAGTTTTTTCAAAATGGTAACATAAAAGGAGAAAGAGAAGTAATGAAATTCTGTTCTTGAGTTTAAACTGACATTACTTTTTTAGAATTTGGGCCAGGTGCTACAAAAGATTTTTAAAGTACTTCTTTAAAGTACTGGATTGATTCCAATCCAGTGTTAACATTTATACTATGCTTCTGTCTCAAGGCATTTAACTTATGAATCAAAAATATCTAAGCCATATGTTTGGGCCTTTTTAAAAAATTTTCATGGCTTATAGAATATCATCAGAATAACACATTGGTTCAGATACATGTAGCAATTATAGTTGGAATAGAGAGAAAAATGGAAAAACTTAGTTTGTATATGATTTATTTAAATTGTATGAATGGTTCAGTAGTCACATTTTAATTTGGAGACTACCTTTTCTTTTCTTCAGAGAAAATTAGAAAAGCCCTTCCTAATTCAGAGGACCTTGCAAAATTGGCACCTGACTTTGACAAGATTGCTGAAAGCCTCAGTGTACTAAAGGACTTTTTCACCACAGGTAAGGAAAGACCTGTGTTTGATCTCATTTAAAATATCAGAAAACACAGAGGAAAGATACTTAAGATACATTCATTTTTTCCATCTTTTAAATGAAAATGTTTAGTACAAATAAAAGCCAGGTTTTTTTATTAGACAGATAAAACAAAATTTTGTTGCTCCGTAGTTTTAATTTTTTTTAATTCATTTATTTTTATATTTTGGCCACATTGCACAGCATGTGGGATCTTAGTTCCCTAACCAGGGATTGAACCCACGCCCCCTGCAGTGGAAACAGAGTCTTATCACTGGACCACCAGAGAGATTCCTGTGGTTTTAATTTTTGTTTGGCCCAGCAAAATGAAAAATTTCAAGAACTTAAACATCTTGGCTTTAGTCAGTGAGGGGAAAATAAGTCACTGGTTCTTGACAAGTAGATGAGACTTCCTGTGTGTTTGCTATTCATAATTGATTAGAGCCAATTTTAAAACATTTAATTATAATGGACCATGATGAGTAGAATTTACTAAGGTCAATCCTGGTGTATTTGCCCAATTCTGCCCTACCATGATATAAATTTGAGGTCTCAGACATCTTTGTTTGCTCATTTCTGTTAAATTTTACATTTCTATTTCCCCTTTTGCTGATTTTTCACAGGTCACAAATTGGTTAGTGAAGTCATAGACGCTTCTGACCTACTTCTCTTGTTAGGTGTGTAAACAGATATTTTTGCTGATCTTAACGTGTCTTTTAAATGCTTCTAATAAACTAGTTGCAAGTAAAATTGCAGACCAAATTTATAATGCTGCTTGTGCTGAATTTTAAAATGTCAGAATTATATTGGGCAAATTCATTATCCTAAATTTAGGTGGAAATAATAAAATAATTATTTTGTGATAAAACTAAAATTCCTAAGTATGTATCTAAATTATAAGATTAAAACTGTTAAAAAGAAAGTTTGCTTAACCAAACTATTTTCTTGAACCAGATCTGGTTGTTTCTCATAATTGAAACAGTCATTTTAGTTTGTTTCATCTGTCCTGTCACAGTTGACATTTTTACTTTTTTTTACACTATATGGGCTCTGATAGCACAAGAGTATAGCGCAAAACTAAAAACACTCTCGTAAAATAATCCTTATCAAAGATTCTTATTTTTTAATTGTACTTTTCAGTGACATTTTAAAAACTCAGTTAAACAGGTCCTATAATGGTTTTGAAATTTTTTTTTCTTAGGTTACCACTTTGTTCCTTAAAATAAGAATAGCTTTCCAAAATGATTTTCGCTCTAAAAATCCACTTACCTTTCAACTGACTAAATATAATATGGAATTTAGTTTAGACTTTGAGCTTCACTGGAGAATTTATAAGACTGCATATTTATCTTTAAGGTTCACCTGGAGAAACGGCCTTTAGAGCGACAGATCCCGGATCTGAAAGTGACAAGCGTTATAGAAAGGTAAGTATAAAGGAGCACTCTTCACATAGACAGTCTTGAAAGATTTTTTTTAAGTTTTTACCTGCCCTGGAAGATTTTAAAATGGTAACATCTGAGAAGCAAACATAACATTACTCAGTGGAGGTATTGTTGTTGTTCTTGGTGCAAAACGTGAGGGATTTGTGCAACAGTTCTGGAGATAGAACTGTATAAGCCAGTTTCCCTCAAATATATTTGAGAAATATTAGTTTCCAGTGTTTTGGCAACAAAGGGTTTTGTTGTTAAATATGTGTGGGAGAAAACTGGTGTAAATAAAACAAGCAGGCTTCTTTTCTCTAGCATTTCTCAGACCTTGATATATGCATGTGCATTGTGAAGCTATAAGAGATTTGTCAAAATATGCAGTTTTCTAGATATATTTACCAACAAAACCCTTTTTTCCATGAAATATCTTCTAGATACCAGTGTTTCATGATATACACTTAGGGGAAATCTTAAGAAAATAGCAAGTTTGTTACTGGGGGATGTAGATTTCTATTACATTGGTAGTCAACAAAATTATGTATGGAGTTATTTAGGATATGCTAATTTCCATACATGCTTTAAAATCCATATAAAGTTTTAGGAGATTTGCTGATATAGAATAAAATGCATTGTTGTGTATTTATATTCATGTTAGCTTGATATTGTCTTAGTATTCACTTTTTTCATCTTTTCAAAATTGTAATGTAAGTGTAATGTAAGTGATTCCTTGAAAGCTTTTTTCAAAATAATACCTAGGTAAATAGATATCTGTAAAATACTCTATGAACATTTAAAAATTAAGTACAAACATTTAACAAATAATGGTTATTGTGGTTTTAATGCATTGAGGTAAATAATTTCATGGCTTTTGGGGGAAGCAGGAAGAAAATAATTGCTTTGTGTAGATTTCTATCTGGTTTCCTATCCTTCAGCTTTGAAGTTTTTATTTGATATTCCATGTGTCAATTATATTTCAAAATTTTTTTTCTTTTGTCTTTTAACCTGATCTTTTGGAGAAAACATTTTTCAAGATTGTGTATGTGTGCATGTGTATTTGTCTTTTAACTTCATCATTTTTTGATAACCTTTTCCATTTCCTTTTCCTTTACCCTTGGCATTATTTTGACCAGGGACACCCTTGACTGTGCATGCTACTGGGAAGAAAAATCTGAATAGAAATTAGCCTATGATGATCAACTTTTTTTTGAGCCAGAGGCTTGACCCTTGCTGCAGGTAGATTTAATGTGCAGAGAGAAAACGAATGTATCTGAGGAGAAGGAACCTCTGTTACAGAGGAGGTAGTATGATTTTCAAGTGACAAGATTTCTTGCTGCCTAGATCAGTTAGGCGAGTCCTGCATCTCTGTTCTTTTCTGACATGGCCTATGATTGTTTTGGTTCATGAGAATCCTGCCTGTTTTGAACCTGAAGATAATTCCCTTATAATCCTGCTAAAGTGATAAATGAGTAGTAATAATTGATAAGTGGTCAGGAGCTTTGCAGTATAGAAGAAACAAGAGAAGTAATCTCCGAAAATTTATTTATATTTACCGATTTTATTTTATACAGTAGTTCAGTTCAGTCACTCAGTCACATCTGACTTTTTGCTACCCCATGAATCGCAGCATGCAAGGCCTCCCTGTCCATCACCAACTTCCGGAGTCCATCCAAACCCATGTCCATTGAGTCGGTGATGCCATCCAGCCATCTCATCCTCTGTCATCCCCTTCTCCTTCTGCCTTCAACCTTTCCCAGCATCAGGGTCTTTTCCAGTGAGTCAGCTCTTCGCATCAGGTGGCCATAGGTATTGGAGTTTCAGCTTCAACATCAGTTCTCCCAATGAACACCCAGGACTGATCTCCTTTAGGATGGACTGGTTGGATCTCCTTGTAGTCCAAGGGACTCTCAACAGAGTCTTCTCCAACACCACAGTTCAAAAGCATCGATTCTTCTGCGCTCAGCTTTCTTTGTAGTCCAACTCTCACATCCATCATGACCACTGGAAAAACCATAGCCTTGACTAGACGGACCTTTGTTTGCAAAGTAATGTCTCTGCTTTTTAATATGCTGTCTAGGTTGGTCATAACTTTCCTTCCAAGGAGTAAGTATCTTTTAATTTCATGGCTGCAATCACCATCTGCAGTGATTTTGGAGCCCAGAAAAATGAAGTCAGCCAGTGTTTCCACTGTTTTCCCCATCTGTTTGCCATGAAGTGATGGGACCAGATGCCATGATCTTCATTTTCTGAGTGTTGAACTTTAAGCCAACTTTTTCACTCTCCTCTTTCACTTTCATCAAGAGGCTCTTTAGTTCTTCTTCACTTTCTGCCATAAGGGTGGTGTTATCTGCATATCTGAGGTTATTGATATTTCTCCCGGCAATCTTGATTCCATCTTGTGCTTCCTCCAGCCCAGCATTTCTCATGATGTACTCTGCCTATAAGTTAAATAAGCAGGGTGACAATATACAGCCTTGACATACTTCTTTTCCTACTTGGAACCAGTCTGTTGTTCCATGTCCAGTTCTAACTGTTGCTTCCTGACCTGCATACAGATTTCTCAAGAGGCAGGTCAGGTGGTCTGGTATTCCCATCTCTTAAAGAATTTTCCACAGTTTATTGTGATCCACACAATTAAAGGCTTTGGCATAGTCAATAAAGCAGAAGTAGATGTTTTTCTGGAACTCTTGCTTTTTCGATGATCCAACAGATGCTGGCAATTTGAGCTCTGGTTCCTCTGCCTTTTCTAAAACGAGCTTGACATGGTTTTAGACATGAGAGCAAATTTTTTCCTTTATTTTATAATTCACTTTGCTTGAAGATAAATACTGCTATAGGCTATTTCTTTTTAACTTTTCCATAATTTATGGTGATTATCTTTCCATTAAAAACTCATCAGTTATTTCCAACTATTTGTTATAAATACTACATCAAATTCTAATTAAGTCATTTTCATAGGTTAAATCAGATAGTATTAAATGTAGTATAAATATTTACTATACAGAGATAGTATTGTCAGCTTCAACTAGTGGTTTTGAATTTTATTAATATGCAGCATTTTTTCAAGGCTTAACTGTGTACCCGTGATGTTTGAAAATAATGAACTCAGACAAGATGCAGATACATGGATTGTAGGAGACTTGTCTGTAAATGGGTGGTTGAATGTCAGCATGGGAAGGGAGACCTTAGCAGAAGCCTCTTTGAAATTAAAACATCAAATTAAAAATTTTGGGCAATCATCAGACGTGGTAGGATGGTAGACAGAGTTCAGGCAGTGGATTTTTGATTGGTTTAGTGTGGTGTCTGAGAGCCCCAAGATTTAAAATAATGGTCATGGCTTAGCTTGATGATTGATCGGTTTATACCAAAGTTTCTAGCTAGACTTACTTAGAAATGTAAATGTGAATTAGATTTTTTTTAATGTAATAAAAAGCATTTCTGTGAATAGAACTAAAAAGAAAATTGTCTTCTTTTTAATAAGAGAACGCATCTGGAAAAACACTGCTGAGTAGAACAGTTAGGAATCTTTGTAAGTCAACTTAAGTGAAAGTGACAGGGAGTTCCAGGAACACAGAGGTCAATTGACTTAAGTCGACAGAATGAAAACAAAATAGATTACCTGTGGTTCCCAGTCTGGAGTTGTTAGACTTTAGGTGTTCTGAAAAATTGTAATTGAGGTCTTCAGAAAGTCAAAAAGCATATATCCACATAATGCTGCACAGGCTAACTAAACATCAGTCAGATTTCTTTGATTTTGCCTGGATTTATATCTATTCAGTTTGTGGACAGTAGTTATGTCTATCAAAAGCTCTTGTATGTATTTTTGATAAATAAATAAATGGAAAAATACTGAAACTACATTTTAGCAAATGTTTTTAATCAGAAAAGTTTAAACTTGTGTCCACTATAGAAAAATACTGGAAAGAGCCCTTAGTGTGAACTTAATAATATTTTTGAGACCTGGAGACCTGAAGGCAAATTCAGAATTGGAGTGGCAAGCCTTCTTAGTGAATTTATGGACTCACCTGGTTTGTAAATCCCTAGATTTCTGTATTCAGTCATAATATATATAGGTAACGGGACCATATAGTGTATCTCCTCTTTTTAGATTCAGTAACATTGTTGTGTTCTAGTGGAAATTAATTTGTTAAATGAGACATTATCTGTGCTTTTGTTCGATCATGTTTCTGATTGGTTATAAACATCTCACAGAAGTAGGGAATATGATTATTCTGAAGGTTATAAGTACATGTATAATTTATAGAAAATATATGAAGTCCAAATCATAAAGTGTTGTTACCATTTTAAAAATAATCATTAAATAGTACTGTTCTTCCTTTCCACATGTTACTATAATTCTTATTTGTGTGGCTTTACTTATTTTGTACCTCCCCACTTCTCTCTTCCCTTTCTCTGCCTAATTTTCCCTTATCCTCAAAGTCCAGCTCAGTCATTACCTTCATGAAGCCTTCTGAAACCATTTTAGTCCCAATAATTATACTCTTAACATTTAAGACATTAGACAGATGAAGCACTATTTACTTTGGTTTCCATTCTTAGTATTTAATGGACGACTTCTGTCACAAAATCTCTGTTCTGAAAGCACCCAGGATATTGCTGAACTCTTTAAAAAAATCCATCAATTGATTTAACTCGGTAAAAGGCTAATTTAAAGTAAGTAAATTTGACTAATGCTAACAAGAGTGGGCCCAAATATTTTATGTAATGTGTCATTTTGCTCTGATTACCTGTGAATTTCTCTTGGCCTTCAATATTTGACAACTATTGAGGAGAATAAGAATGAGCACATGTACTTGGATTTCTGAATTGTAACAAAGCAGTATTGCTTAAGTGGGATTTACATTTCTGGAAATCCTCATGCAACAAATGATGTAAACTGTAGCAAAAGGAAATTCTCACAACCAGCACCATCAGGTAGCCACAGATTCAGGAAGCTTAAGTTTCCTGAGCAGCTAACAACTAGCAGTTGTACATGATTAGATACTTAAAATTTTATTCCTTAATAATCATATTGCATTTTTATGTTTTTTTACATTAAATATATACTGTGTACATAACACTGTCTTTAGGTGTAATAATTTGGAACAAAGGGGATTTGGTAGAAATTGTAATTTTGATAAAGACTATTGGTAATAGACTGATTTGTTCATCTTTTAAAATTATCATTTGTAGAAATTGTCCAAATAGTAAAACAGGATATGGCATTTCTGAATTGGGGCAAGTTAAATAATTCAAGTAGAAAGCTTGTTTCCTTTTGATATCCAATATTAAACATATTTTGATTGGCTCTGAATATCTTGAGAAGAATTATATATTACTAGGAGGGAGAAAAGTAGGAAAATAGATCTTTATAGCTAATAGCAGAATTATTCAAACTTTGAAAAATAGATTAGTGCCTAGAAATATTTTTTAAGCGGAACAGGAAAGAAGTTTTTACTTTCACAAAGTTGTTTCCTGTACCCCAAACTAATAAAACGGAGGTTGGCAAGCTTTTTCTTAGAGGTCCAGATTGGAAATATTTTAGATTTGCAAGCCCTATGGGCTCAGCCAGCCCACTATAGTTTGCCAGTTCCTTCTCTAAAGAGTAATTTACATGTGTCCTCCGAAGTGTTGTAGTTTTACCATGTTCCTTATTAACATGTAGATTGAGCCTGAAGGGCCAAAGGCACTGAGAATAGTGACTGTGGAGCCCACAGGATGCTGTCAGGTGTAGAGACGGAGTCACGCTGCCTGTGTTCAGACCCTGCCCTTCCGCTTTTCTGAGGGGTGTGACCTTGGAGAAGTTCCTTAGTTTCTCCAGGTTTTTGGCTTCCTCTTCAGTGATAGGGGGCATGCTACCTGATAATGGTTAGTGTGAGCATTTCCTAAAGCCCTTCAGCAGAAGATCTGGCACATAATAAAACTCAAGAAATATTAATATAATGATATTATTATCATCTAATACTTTGAATTGTTGCATGAGTTAACAGCATATTAATGTTATTTGATGAATTTCTTCTTATTTCCTGTTGAGTCTGTTCTGGGAATTGTGATCAGTGGGAAAAATGGATTGTAGGGTTGATGTGTAGCTTATTTACAGAGTAAGCAATTTTTAGGAAACCCAATTTGGATTTTATGCTATAAACTTTGTGTATTTTTGCAACAAACATGTGCCAAGCCCTAACCTAGGTGTTGGCCATGACACACCTGTGTCAAGACCTTATTCTATGTGCTAGGTATAAAAACAAACAAGGTATAGACCCTGCTCTGCTATTCATATTTCGAATACTGTTAAAAATACAGTATTTTATTTTTTTGGCCATGCCTTTTGGCTTACAGGATCTTAGCTTTCTGACCACCAAGGATCAAACCTAGGGCCATAGCAGTGACAGCTCCAAGTCCTAACTACTGGACACCCAGGGACTTACCAAAATGTAGTATTTTAAATGTATTCACATAAAAATGAGTCATAATTTCAAGGTTTTTAAAAATAATAACCATCAACTTTTAGAGGTCTTTCAGCACTTTCAGTTTATGTCTTGGTTTTTGGAGCTATCACTGATTTTCTTGGTCTGACACTATACTTTTTTAAAAATCCAAGAACATTGTACATGCGATATGGGACCATGGGAGCAGCAGTGTCAAACTGACAGTAACCAAGAGTTGTTTTGAGAGTGCATCATATGTGGTTGTTTACAATAACTACTATTGTAGACCACAGTTACTGCATTTTTAATATATATCATTTAAAAATAATGTACTGTTTCTTGAGAGAAAGATGTCTGAACTTTGGAAAATATTTATTAAATGTTTTGTTTATACAAGGATGTATCTTACACAGGAGGCACATGTGTTTTTCTTCCTCCTTATTCAGCATGGCCTTGGCTTTAAAAGCTAGCCTAGTAGTGCTTAGAGTGAGATGTGTTGCCTAAAATAAAAGTAACCTTTTTTAGTTGTAGAGTATAGTGTAAAGAGTTTTTTTCTGTGTCTAATTCTTGTTTTCTTCCTACTTTTTTCAGGAGGTAACAGTTAATTTCAACTACCTTCACATAGCAGTGCTTCAGTAACAGACTTGGAAGGAAAGTGAGGTGTCACTAGAAAGAGGGTGTTTTTCTTGTACTTTAAGATATTAGAGTATTTACCATACAGTTTGTATATACATGTAAGGAATGGATTAGGGAGGGGTGTTTAAGTTATCAATAAATAAGAAACCTGTGCCTAAGAGACCAGCACAGTTTAGAAATGTGGAATATTTTCTTACTGCTTTGGCATTTTATAAACTATAATAATGGGGATTATGTTAATTAAAGCACAGGCACATTAATGTGTAAGCCAACATGGGATGCCTTCTTTAAAAGACAACTATTTTGAGAAATCTAAACACTTGGATGAGTAGAAGCTATTATGATAAATGACTGAATAAAAATGAGCTGGGTAATTTCTTTCTGCCTGATGAAAGGCAGTGATACATGAAATGAGAGAAAAGGACATAAAAAGTTACGGGAATGATGAGGCTAGTGAGTTGACATTGCATTTCTTTTAGATTTATCAATGACCATAAAAATGTTTATTTAAAGAATATATCTAAAAGATAACTGCAGTTTTTTATATTTTGTACTATTGAATTTGGAAACAAATGTCGAAATTTCAGTTATGTTACTTGCCACTTTGATATTCTCTTACTTGTCATGCAGAAATATCCACTAGTTTCATCCTTTGATTTATAGTAAGTCAACCAGTTTTATTATATTGGTATAGCTTAATGTATTAAACCTAAGAATCAAGGTAAAAATCCCCCAATTGTTTATTAATATTTCCCTTAAAGTGCTGTACTATAACACAGCTTTTCTTTTTGTATTTACTTCTTTTCTGGTGAACTTTTTTATATATAAGTCTTTGGATTATATAAACTAACATGCTTCTGGGTGAGTCTGCTAATTAAAATGTAAATGTAACATTAATCAGTGTTTCATTTTAAGAAGCTTTATGATTATATTAAAGTATTTTCAGCAGTTATAAAGCTGTGAGGCTATTTGAAACTCCTTAGATTATTTTAATGAAGTTTTATTTTCATTTTTAATTTTAATTTTCCTAACTTTTTATTTTTATGACTTGGTAAAAATTGAGCCCATTGTTCTCCCAGGTAAACTATTCTTATGAAGATTAAAGAGTGACTTCATCGCAACTGTACCATTTTAGGGTTTCTAGTTGAGAAAATATAAGGTTCATAGAATTGTCAATTCCCAGTTGTTACTTCTCCGACATTTCTTGAGGTTGATTATCTAATAGACCATCAGTTAAAAGCGCTGTATAGAAAATGACATGTATTTTAGTTTCATTCCACAAGTGAATGCACTGCCTTAGAAGAGCATTTCATTACTATTAAATGGAATGAATTTTAAGCATAAAAATGGTGATTACGTTGTACATAGGTCCAAACTGAGTTTTGTTTCTGTTTTGTTTTGTAACAACTGTATTATCTCCATATTTTAATTATGTTCTTTAATGGAAGTCATGCTTTAGTAATTAATATACCCTTGGTTATATTCTCAGAGGCCATTTTTACTGAATGTCAGAACAGCTCATAAAAAGTGAAAATTCAGTCACACTTCTTATTTGTTGTTGTATAAAGTTAAAAAAGTACCTCAAACATTTTTTAATTAAAAAACTCTTAAATTTTAATCAAATAAGATTATGTGTGTAGGCATGTAAAATTATGAATTAATGTAAAACTTTGATTAACTTGATGCTCAAAACTAAGTTTTCAGGGATATTTATTGATTTATTTACTTTTTGGCCATGCCCCATGGCATGCAGAATCTTAGTTCTCAGACCAGGGATTGAACCCGTGCCCCCTGCAATAGAAGCAGCCAGAGTCTTAACCACTAGACCACCAGCGAAGTCCGCTGCTGCTGCTGCTGCTAAGTCCCTTAAGGGATCTTTAATTGAAGACATTAGATGTTAAGGAAAAATATTTACTTAAAAATAATGATTTAATAAGTAATTAAGCTATTGTGTATTCTCCATTTAGTCTTAAGAAACTTGACGGTTGAGAATTAGATTCAGGCCTGTAAGATCTCCACTTGAAAAATCACTTTTGTTTTTCTTTCCCCCTATGTATCAAGTCAGGAACATACACTGGTTCGTATTGGCAATTCAAAAATACGGGTGAAAGTATTTGTTTCTCAATGTTCCTATTACTCATTTAGTTAACTGTAGTTCCACCTTCCTTGAGCATTCCAGTTAGTCTAGGTTTTACTGTATGTTGATATTATATCTGGCTCATTTTATTCAGCAAACAGTCACTTACTGCATTTTCCTTTTCACTTTTTAGACTATGGTGTTTTATATTTGAGACATAATTTTACTGAGGGGAAAAGTGGAAATGTGGTACAGAGCCCAGTTATATAGTGGCTCTAAAGGTACATAACTGAGTTTCCATTTTTGTTACAAGCTATCCATTCCTCCCTAACTTACATCTGTTCCTTTCTTGTGCCCTTTGGTTTAACATTGTTCTCCTCCCCAATTTTCCTCTTCTCCTGGCTGTAAACTCATGGCAGGGTCTGCTTGGTGAGCTCATTCTCTTACAACAGCAAATTCAAGAGCATGAAGAGGAAGCACGCAGAGCTGCTGGCCAGTATAGCACGAGCTATGCCCAACAGAAGCGCAAGGTGATGGATGGTTTAAGGGGGCTACTGATTTGTTTACACTAATCAGCCATTTCTACCAATATCATGTCACCTTAATCCATTCATGGACTACAGTTATGAGAAATTAGTTTTGATAAGATAAAAATAGTGAAAGATAATACAGATATGCAACTTTCTAGAGTATGCAAACAAACCCAAAATATTAAACATAGTAATTTATTTTCTGAAAATTAGATGATCTGTGAGGGTTCATGGACTTGTACTTAGGTAATTGTGAATTGCGGTTTACTTGGCCCAGTTATTGAATCACCCTATATCTGTGGCCAACTTGTCTATTCTCTAAGTTTTCACTTCTAAAATGAAAAGGGTTACTGTGAATGACCATGTTAAAGAATGAAATGGTTTTGTTTTAATTAAAATGATTCAGCAGAGAATTCTTGTTTCCTACAAAAGAAAACTATTTTGACCTAACTTTTGGACAGTTATTCTTAAATACTTTGATAAACTTATAATAAAACTTTTGACATTTATTAACAAAGTCAGCACAGATTTTCACCTTGTCCACTGAAAAATTGAACATTGGAAATTTGATATAATTCTGGTCACTAAAGGACAGATTCTAATAAAACTCAGTGTAACACTGTACAAATATTTGCTTATAGGTGTCACCAAAAAATCCTTAAATATAATGCTTTTGGCTTTAGATGATTCTATACTGTAGATCCCCAGGTTAATGTCCTAAAGAGACTAGAGTCAAATGAAGGGTTTAAAATGATTTTAAAAATTTTATTGTAAGATCTTGACATCGGCTAGTTACATATATTAGAAAAGTTTTACCAGTTAGGTATAAATCTTAGGAAAAATGATCCAGTCATATGATTAGCTTCCTGTACATTCTGATATTGAAATCAACCAATATTACAGATAATTAGTGAAATGATCCTGCTGGCTAACCCTATCGCATTTGGTGGTGGTTAGTACTTGAGAGTTCTAATCGCAGTTTATTTTTTCAGTGTCGCTTCCTGGCTTTTCTCAATTCCATGGCTGTGAAATCAACTGCTATATGTCATTTAGCTTTCAGTAAATGAATAATATAGGTGGAAATAGAAAACAAATTATTTTCCTGCTTGTGTTAAATCACAGTAGGACTTAGTGTAAATGGTGTTTAGCATTCTCTATTCTCATGCTGTTCAGAGTACCACTTAAATATACTAACAAGTTGGATGCTCAGGGTAAGCATCTGTCCTTTAGCTTCATTATAAACAAGAGGGAAAGGAACTGTTATGTTTTGGTGTGTTAGAAATATGAATATAGCTCTTGTTTTCAAGACCAGTAGATCTTGTTTTTTTCCTAATGGTAAAAAAATTTACAGTGAGCCCCATAGATCTGCTATTTTAAGATTCTAAGATACCGTTTAAGATTATTAATATCCTGTTGAATCTGACAGTTTAAATGAAAGCAATAGTGAATACTGTTTATTTTTACGCTGCTAAGGGCCTTTTTTCAGACCTGGAGTTATCCTTCCTCTTCCTAATATTTATTGGATTATCCATGTATAACTCTTTTATTCCTCACTCTCCATATTTGTGAAAGAGCTACTGACAGGGCTGTACCTCTGTCTATTTTGTTTATTAAGATGTACTTAGAAGGGCACAGAACGGGGCTTGTTCCTGCCCACTTACCTTGTGTGAAAGTAAATGAGACGAAAAACAATTTGTGCACCTCTATAACAGTATCATTCTTTTACTGTCCTTAAAGATGATTTCCTTACTGTATCTTCCCTCCATTCCCCTTAGAGCTAGTACACTGGTGACTTCAGCCTTACATTGTCATAATGACCAAAATGCTAATTTGATGAGGCTTTTATCTTTCCAGGCATTTGAGGTTTACTTGAGGTACAAAACCACAGCAACTTTTTGTCATTTTTTGATGATTCTTTCCTACTACATTTTGAAAATATTAGTAGGCCTTTTTTTTTTTTAATGCTTTCTGGGGTTTTTTTTTGGTAATACTGCACAGCATGTGAGATCTTAGCTCCCTGACCAGGGATCAAGCCCACACCCTCTCCAAGGATCTTAACCACTGGACCTCCAGGGAAGTCCCTATTTTTATCTTATTGGTAGCAGCTAGTAGATTTTCCCTGTATTATTCAAGCAGAGGCGCTCATGCAGAGATAGTAGATTAAAACTGCCATTGGTAGATTTGCCTCCTGTAACTGTGTATGTACACATACATAGAAATTTTTGCAAGTCTTATACATTTCCGTATTTCAGAATGGCTACAATTGCTTAGGAGGAAGAAATACTTAAAATTTAAAAATCAGGCTTGCTTTTGTTAGGAGCTAGTAAAGGTTTTTCTCTTTCAGCTTTAGCTTGTTTCTGCAGAGGGTTCCACTCTTTCTCCATCAGTTTTACAGCCCTGGAATTGTAGGAAAGCTCTGGTTTCAAGACTATTGATACCCATTTCTGTCAGGGTGAGTTTTGAACTAATTTCATAATGAAAACTAAATATATTAAACAACAAGACAAGGACTTACTGTAAGTAGCTGAAGTTTACTAGTAAAGTGCATCAAAATAAAATATATCCCAGGTTGCTAGTTAAGACCTCAGATAAATGATAGACTAATAGCATGTATTATTCTCTTAAAATACGTTAAAGTGTCTTATCACTAATCTTTAAGATTTATTTTGTGAACCTGAAGGTTTTAATCTTGTTTCCTGTAAAATCCTAGATTTAATTCTTGACTCTTATCATCAACCTGTCTTTTATATAATATAGTATTAATCTTTTAATTTAATGTTAAGCAGATAGGAATGGTATTGGTGAAACTATGCATGAGTTATTCCTAACAGTCACGCCAGAAGGGCACATGATAAATTCAAATACTTCAAAAATACAAATTTATAAAAATCCTAAGTCATTGTTACTAAATACTAATATTAGCATAAAAATTGTGTTTGTAATATTCTAATAACCTTATATCATTTTAACTCTTTATGTATCTGTTTTATTTTACCACATTGTCAAGGCTAGTCCTCTATAGTCCTTGGCTTGTGCAAACATTCTGTTTTATGTAATTATATTGCTTTTTAAATTATTGCCGCAGTTGTAGAGATATGTTGGATATTCTACTGTAACTTAGATTATATTGCATGATATCATTAAATATTCACATCCTGTACTAATACTGTCTATACATTTCATACTACTTTAACTTCAGTTGGGTGAATATTTAATGGAACAGAGTAAATCAGAGTAACTTTCCAGATGAATTGGGAATATAATCTACATAACAAAATTTTTATGATCACATTGGTGTGTGATATCATGTGTATGATCACATTATGAGTGTGATATCATGCCATATGATCAAAATATGGAATTTATTTCTTCATTGGCCTTCAGGATTTTGTTCCTTAGGTTGTGGGCTCCTCAACACGCTTGTTTTCTCACATTTTAGGAGATGATTAATAATTCTTGTCCATTTTATACAAACACAGTCAAATGAAAAACGCTTCTGTCCAGAAGCTGCTGCTTGCCCCACAGGAGTGGGAAGCAGTGATACAAAGTTTGTTTTATGTTGCGTTTTTCTAATTCACAAAATTTGAAATTTTTAGACAAAGACTTTTTAGGAAAAAGCAGTTATGGATTATGTACCTATTATTTCTGGCAAGTATTGTCATTTTTATTTAAAAGAAGTTTGGGGGGAATTTTGAGAATGCATTTGGAAATAGGAATTAAAATCTCAAAAGTAACGTTTTATTGCATGGATAAGAATTATTAACGTCCACTTCAATAAGCAAATCATTTAGAATATTTTCATATGTATTTGCTACCGTGAGGTCTTGGCTGCTTAAGTAGCCAGTGAAATCAGGATGAATAAAGATTTACTTGAGTTTTAACTTGATTTTTGTCTCCTGTAATAAAATCATGTTTAAAAATTTTGAGTACAGAAATTAGATAATTATTTTGAGATTGAGAATGGCAGCTTCGGCATCTCCCTAAGGAGTCAAAGCAGTTGTGTGGGTTTGTCCTAAGTGACATCATTTAACTGCAGTTGGTTATTGTGTTTTATATTTAGAATTGTGATTATTTTACAGCCTGGTGTAGAATAAAGTTCTTTATTTTGAATATCTTATCTTAGAACTATTAGCATTAGTAATAATTAGGAGTCATTTCCCCAATACCTGTGGATTTTATCCTACTTTTGTTTTATTTTCAAATCAATTTTGTTTGCTTTATTCAACTTCATTGCCTCTGATGCATTTGCTTTATTATGGGTTAGAAGATCTTGCAGTGAAACTAAATTTAAAAACAAGCATCTGGCTGCACTTAAAGCTCTGAAAATGCACTTGTTCTTTGCACATATTAAACACTTTCCTACTTATGGGATAGAAATGGATAAGTGTTTTCTTAAAAGATACACTATGACCAATGAATGTTTTCAGTAGCTGTACATTATAACGCGTCTGACTTCAAAAACATTTTTGTAAGGATTTCAGTGCTTTATTTCTCAGGCATCCAAGTCCCTGTGCTTGAGTACAAAACAGCCTGTCAAGAACACAGTAAATGTATGTGTTGATCTCTTATTTTTCTAACAAGCCAGTCATAAGAAATGACTACAATGGCAATAGGAAGATGATCTCTTTTTAAGGTTTTCATTTATATAAACTTTTCAAGAGCTGTTTTTGTTGTTGAATAAGGTTACTTTCTTAAATAAGCATTTGATTTAAAATTTCCTTTGATTAAATATCCATATAAAGTCTATAGTTTTTACTCTTAAAAATGGTTTCTTTAAAAAGTTAACTTATTGTATATTCTATATAAATCTAATTCTACTCAAATAAAAAAAATTATTTTAAATATTTAGGTGTCAGACAAAGAGAAAATTGACCAGCTTCAAGAAGAGCTTCTGCATACTCAGGTAATACTAATGTAATTCATAGTCAGGTAAAAAGAACCAAAGAGTTTGTCTTGTACTCTAAATTTGGTGATGTGGAAGTTTATCTGAGCAGAGTTTGTAGTGATTTAATGATAGAAACTTATTACTATCATCAATAGATGCCCCCACAAATGCAAAAGCTAATTGAGAAATAAGGAATAATGAAGGAACTTGATAAGTTTAATTAACTCATTTATGTGTAAAAGCTATTGTTGAGTGAATCTTATGCTTTTCATTTTAGAGGAAGACTATGGCAGAAAAGACGGGGGAAAGTGACTTGTCCTTGTATAAACCTGTGCTGGCCTTTTTACATTGATTGGCTAATTCGAGTAACAGTTAAAAGAAATTGAAGTGGAGTTCTATCACAATTCTCTAATGTCCAAAGCCAATCAGATAATAATCTTTCTAAAGGTATTAATATTTCTGACACTACTTTAAAGAGTTATTCTCTTATAGTTGACGATTCAATTATTATTTTAAAGAATTGTTCTGTGCAATGTAATTGAGTAGGGAACATTCTTGTGAAAAATTGCCACATTATCCACTCTATCATTAATTATTCTCTATAGATCCAATGATATGTGGTAATTAAGTTTAAATTAAAAAGACTCATCGGGTCTCTTTTTAGGGAAAAGTACAGCAAAGCAATTTAAATAAAATTAGGAACCAGTGTATGTTGAGTCTCAGGTTTTCTTCATATCTATGTATTGGTTCTTATACTCAACAGTATGTTAGAATCAAGTGTGCTCTGAGCAGCCCTAACATTGTTATGATTACAGTCTGCAGCTAGAGATTAAGAATCACTGGCCTCAGAATGTGATCTCTGGAGCATTAGCATCAGTGATACTCTTTGGGAACTTGTTGGAAATGCAGATTATTGGTCCCATCCCAAATGCACTGAAACGGAAACTCTGGATATGGAACTGAGCAGTCATTGTTCTTAAAACCCTCAAGTGATGCTGCTGAGTTCTTAAGTTTGAGAATTACTGGCCTAGAACTTTGCAGGATGGCCCAGTAGCACATCTCTGCAGGAAGCCTGCAGACTGATGTATACTAAAGAGTGTTTCCAGCACCAGAAAATGTAGACCCCATAATTGATTCTGTATTTACCAAGTGAACCAGTAGAAATCCTACCACTGTTGTATATACCTGTTGATATCAATCCTTCCATTTGTTGGAAGCTGGTAGGCATTGTTGAAAGTACTTTATGGAGAATTCATGATATAATAATGGCATTATGTATATTAATAGTGTCCAGTTGAGATAAAATGCAAGCCACGTGTACTTTAAAATTTTTGCATTAAAATAAGGGTAAAAAGAAATAGGTAGAATTTTCGTGTTAATAATATATTTAACAAAGTAGATCTAAAATAGTTATATATCTAGTTAGTATAAAAATATTAATGTGGTATATATGTATTTTATAGAAGTCTGATGTATGTTTTCTTCTTAACACACACCTTAGTGCAGACTAGCCACATTTCAAGTGCTCAGTATCCGTATGTGGCCAGTGACTGCTGTCTGTATTAGACAGCATAGGTCTAATTCTTAGATAACTGCCGGAAGTTTGTTGTGTGTACTGTTACTGAATATAAATGAACAAATTCTGTAAAAATATGTTTATAATATAAACTAGCCTATAGTTCTACCTGTCTCATACTATATAATTTCTTAAATTTATCTTAAATTGGACATTCTCTGAGGATAAAGCCATGATCTCTTGTTATTTACTTTGTGCTTGGAAGATTGTAACAGCCTAACATATTTTCCAAGAAATATTTTCCATCTCCTTCTTTCCATTAACAAAAGACATGTTACTGTAAAATTGGACAAAAACATCCAGTTGGTGAGATGGGGAGGGAGGTTGTGGAGGGAGGGGATGTGTGTATACCGATGACTGATTCATGTTGATGAATGGCAGGAACCAACACAGTATTATAAAGTAATTGTCCTCCAATTGAAAATAAAATTTTAAAAAATCTAGTTGGTTGTAAGAAAGAGTAATTCTTAATAATTTTCTGAACATGATTAATTTCTATAGAAGAAATAATTGTGTATAAACAGAAAAACCAGTTATAAAAGGATCACATTTATTGGAGAACAGTGAGTAGCCAAGCATCTAATTTGACAAAAAAGCCTATATAAACGTTTTAGTCTTTTAAATTGTTCTTATGTCAGTATTTTAAAAATTAATGTGTAATCTCTGACCATAGAAACTTACCAAAACTTAGAAGAGTTTGAGCCCTCAACTCCGACCTATATTCAAAACTCTGTGACCTTGGATAAGCTCCTAAGCATCTCTAACCTCTGATTCCTAACCTGTATAACCTTTGCCTAATGTGAAGCCTTAAAGAAGCTAATACAGGTGAAGCAGTGAGTAAAAGGCCTGTCATGTAACTCATGGTCAGATACTGTTAGCTATTTTTATTTTATACCATTGTAATAAAATAATATAGAGGCATAAGGAAAATTTGAATTTTTGTCAAATGTGCTTTAACTGAAGATTTAAAATTTTGATGCAGGAAATAGTGCTTCATAGAGATACTTAAGAGCTTGCCTTTTAAACTCCTTTTATTTTTAATATTTTTATTAATTTCTTCAACATAAACAGCAAAGAATTTTCCAATAAGATGCCAATTATAACAGAAAACTATGAAGTTCATTGTTTGAGATAATATTCATCATTATTTTGTTCAACGTTTTCATAGTTGACTTTTAAATGAAATAATTCATTTTAAGTCCTTCAGGATCAAGGAATATTTTAATTTATACTTAATGTTATTTTTTAACTGATGGTTTCTTATGAAGTTACTTGTATTACTGTGTTGCAGTTAAAGTACCAGAGAATCTTGGAACGGCTCGAAAAGGAGAACAAAGAATTGAGAAAATTAGTATTACAGAAAGATGACAAAGGCATCCATCATAGAAAGCTTAAGGTATTTTAAGTGTGTGTTAACTTGTTATCTCTCAAAACTCTGCCACTTCACATTGTGTGTTCATCAATATCAGTTTTTAAGGAACTGCAAAGGGTTCTATTGTCCTTTTCTTTCCAATCTTGTGTCCTTAGGGAAAAGGGAGGTCTCCTCTTTTGTTAAGACTTCGTAAATTATAATCTCCAGACATTTGTTTTTTTACTAGATCCATAAATTCTTCATACTTGTGAATCAATGAATCAATTTATTTTTTTCTGAAATATTGAAACTTCCCCAGTGGCTCAAATGGTAAAGAATCTGCCTGCAATGCAGGAGACCTGGGTTCAATCCCTGGGTGGGGAAGATCCCCTGGAGAAGGGAATGGCAACCCACTCCAGTATTCTTGCCTGGAGAACTCCATGGAGAGAGGAGCCTGGCAGGCTACCGTCCATGGGGTTGCAAAGAACTGGACACGACTGAGTGACCAACACTTTATTCCTAGGTTTGCTTCATTTCTGCAGCTGTAAAATCAGTAAGTTAATAGAAAATTACATATGTCCTATCTTTATTACCTTACTCGTAAATGCCACTGAATGAAGAGGCCACTTTCTTCAGTTTTACAATAGTTAACATTTTCTTCTGGAAGGTTCCTTGGGCATTTTAAAGAATTTTTGAAAAAACATGCTGGTATTGTTATCAGCATATTGATAATTACCATTATCAGTAAATTCAATATTATTATTACCCACTAAACCAAGCTGTATGTGCTACATTAAGTTGAAGTAATTCTTTTTTTAACTTAAATGTCATGTAAGTAAACAGAATGTATATGTAGCAAAACTGCAATAAATCATGACACATGCATTTTATGGCCACGGTCCAAAGATATACAGTTCTGGTTTAACCAACATGTATTAGTAGTTCTGACTCCAAATTGCAACTGCATAATATCAGCATGACTTTATTTATAAGCCAGTATGTGGCAGTTAGAAAAGCCACATCCAAATGTTAATAAATATTGAGAATTTACCTGAGAAATTGTATTTTCTCTCATTAAGTGAAATAGTAATGAAGATTTGAAAAGTGTGTTGTTTAGGTCAAAGGGATAATAGTTGCTTTCCTTTTAATTTTAGGTGTTAAAAGAGATGAAAGGAACTTCAGGCCCTCATTTTGTTCCTACTTTGGTATTAAAACTTACCTTTAATTATTAAATGCCTGGCCTGTTTATATGTTCAGTCATTCCTCAAATACTTGAAGCTTGTTATTTTCCAGAAAACATGTTTGACCCTGGTTTTACCGAGAGAACAGTACAGGATGTCTGCTCCTGGTGCTCTCACGTTTTAGTCTGCCCAGTTATCAGTATACACTACTCCTCCTCACTGATTTAACAGGAATTTTGGTGATTCTTTCTCTACTTTACCCTTTCTTCAGTGTCTCTCTCCCTCTCTGACACATACACCAAATGTTCCTTTCAGTTGGTACCTGGCTTATTGGACCTTTTTAGTGTTAATGGTCTGTCTTTGTTGGGCATTTAATATTAGCTCTTCAGTATTTTTTTTTTTTAATATTTATTTATTTGTCTGCCCCGGGTCCTTAGTTTTAGCATGTGGGGTCCTTAGTTTCTCTTAAGTTGCAGCATGAAGGATATTTAGTTGTAGTGTGCAAATTCTTAGTTGTGGGCATGTGGGACTTAGTTCCCTGCTCAGCGATCGAACTGGGGCACCTAGCATTGGGAGCTGGGAGTGTTAGCCACTGGACCACCAGGGAAGTCCCTAGGTCTTCAATATTGAACAATAACCTCCCTCTTTTAATGTTTAATTGGAAGATTAGGAAATCCTAAATTAACATATTGTGTTAAATCAGTGTCTCTTGAAATAGATTGGATAAGAAAGTATGGAATTTTATTCTGTACTGTTTTACATTTACTCAGAATACAATTATGAGAACTCCTTGAATTTATCAGCTTTTTTATCCTGACACATCTGTGGGTTTTTTAAAATGTTTTCTGTATTTTATAATATTGATTTTTTAATTTTATAGAAATCTTTGATTGATATGTATTCTGAAGTTCTTGATGTTCTGTCTGATTATGATGCCAGTTATAATACACAAGATCATCTGCCAAGGGTAAGTGAAAAATTAGTACACAGTGAAATTGCCCATTAGCAAAAAAGCATGTTAGTTTTTTTTAAAGTTATGTGTGTGTATACATAGGCAGAGACATAAAATTTTCTCTATAATATTCATGTGTTCTAGGTGATGTCTCAAGCATTGAATGTTGTTTGACTATTTTGGTCCATTAGTTTATTTATATTTATGCATAATGAAGGAAGGCTTTCAGATATTTGGCATTATATGTTAATGATGTCCATGATATTAAAATTCCTGAATGGTAGATAAAACTAGGTACATAGGAGAAATATAACCTCACAGAATTGAAAATGTCTTTGTAAAGAGTAAATTAGCTGTGGAAGAGATTTATGCAATATTAATGTTAATTTGGTTTTAAAACTAGTGGTTTAAATTAGTAATAAAAATTTGGCTATAAATAATGGACCCAATTAATGTTTTGCTGTTTATTTTCAGTACACATCCATGTATAAACTATCATTTTTTTTTGTGGATATTTTAAAATCATTTAACTGGACAGTTTTTAAAGACTAATTCTCAGCAGCATTCCGAATGTATTAAATTTAAGTTTGTATCAAAAAATATGAATATGTGGTATTTATTTTGTGGTAAGGTTGTTGTGGTTGGAGATCAAAGTGCTGGAAAAACTAGTGTGTTGGAAATGATTGCTCAGGCACGAATATTTCCTAGAGGATCTGGGGAGATGATGACACGTTCTCCAGTTAAGGTAAGAAAATAGGCTCTCTGGGTTAATAGACACTGTGGTGATCATTTTCTAACGTATTTAAATGTTGAATCACTATTTTGTACACCAAAACTAACATAATATTGTTTGTTACCTGTACTTTGGTTAAAAGAAAAAGATAGGCCAAACGAAGTTCTTCAGGGAAGTGATCACTTTAACAAAGTTTGTCCATTGTGTTGAAATGAAGAATTTTGACCAAAAAAATAACTGATATGTAGCATTTGGAATTATTCCTAGTGTAGGAATTAGTAGAAGTCACTCCTCAGACAAAGGACAAAGATCAGGAGTTTGGGGCTTGCCTGTGGGATGTTAACAAAGCAGCAGCTGGATATGGAAGTTTGGAGGGTGGTCTGGACTAGAGATAGAAATGGAGGAGTCACAATCAAACATCTGAAAGTGGTAGTTAACTCCCTAATGGCTAAGATTGCCTAGGGAGTGAGTGGAGACGGAGAAGACCTACAACCTCTGACACATTTAACTCTCAATAAGTAGATGTTAAAGAAATGAATTGTTACCTAACTTTACCGTTGATGTGAAATGCAAAATTTCCTTTTAGTTTTTCAAGTTTTGTTTGAGATTGATGGTTTTGTGCTTGGTACTCTATAACATTGACTGGGAAATGGAACCATGTAAGTACTGTGGGAATTAATAGAAATTGTAAATACAGTCTTCTCAATTTTCTGTTAATTTCAGGTGACTCTCAGTGAAGGCCCTCATCATGTGGCCTTATTTAAAGATAGTTCTCGGGAGTTTGATCTTACTAAAGAGGAAGATGTAAGTAGATTTCGTATGAGGTTTGTATGTGTAATTTTTAATAATCTGTGTAAACATAAAAGACAACTAAATGGTATATTTAACTGACAATTTTCTTAGGATTTTGTTGTTTTCCCATTGATAGCTTGCAGCATTAAGACATGAAATAGAACTCCGAATGCGGAAAAATGTGAAAGAAGGCTGTACTGTCAGTCCAGAGGTAAGTGCTGCAGTTCATGTCAGCCGTGTTGTATGGAGATCCAGTGTTTTATGATTTGAAATCATAGAGCATTGATATTTAGATTGAAGTAATTTAAAGATACACAGTCTTTTTTTTTTTTAATATTCCAAAGAATGTATCATTTTGTGGAAAAGTTTTATGAAATAATTACTCCCATAACTTTTTTCTGAACCACATATCTAAATGAATGAGATAAAGAATTTTCAGGATATGTGTCAACAAAAAAATTCCTAACAAGCTGCCTCTCAAAAGTTTCTTGGCTTTTGGATTTTTTTTTCCCCCTGAACAGACCATATCCTTAAATGTAAAAGGTCCTGGACTACAGAGGATGGTGCTTGTTGACCTACCAGGTGTGATTAATGTAAGTGTATACAAAGCATGTATCTTATCTTATTCTGTTGTGGCAGACATTTATAATGACCTTTAAAACCTTTTTCTTCAAGACTGTGACATCAGGCATGGCTCCCGACACAAAGGAAACTATTTTCAGTATCAGCAAAGCTTACATGCAGAACCCTAATGCCATCATACTATGTATTCAAGGTAAATCTTATTGAAAGATTTTAATTGCACTAATATTCTTCCTTATTTAGCAATCAAGGTTTGTTTTACACATGTGTTACATAAACACGGGCTTCCCTGGTGGCTCAGATGGTGAAGTGTCTGCCTGCAATGTGGAAGACCCAGGTTCGATCCCTGAGTTGGGAAGATTCCCTGGAGAAGGAAATGGCAACCCACTCTTTAACTCCCTAATGGCTAAGATTGCCTAGGGAGTGAGTGGAGACGGAGAAGACCTACAACCTCTGACACATTTAACTCTCAATAAGTAGATGTTAAAGAAATGAATTGTTACCTAACTTTACCGTTGATGTGAAATGCAAAATTTCCTTTTAGTTTTTCAAGTTTTGTTTGAGATTGATGGTTTTGTGCTTGGTACTCTATAACATTGACTGGGAAATGGAACCATGTAAGTACTGTGGGAATTAATAGAAATTGTAAATACAGTCTTCTCAATTTTCTGTTAATTTCAGGTGACTCTCAGTGAAGGCCCTCATCATGTGGCCTTATTTAAAGATAGTTCTCGGGAGTTTGATCTTACTAAAGAGGAAGATGTAAGTAGATTTCGTATGAGGTTTGTATGTGTAATTTTTAATAATCTGTGTAAACATAAAAGACAACTAAATGGTATATTTAACTGACAATTTTCTTAGGATTTTGTTGTTTTCCCATTGATAGCTTGCAGCATTAAGACATGAAATAGAACTCCGAATGCGGAAAAATGTGAAAGAAGGCTGTACTGTCAGTCCAGAGGTAAGTGCTGCAGTTCATGTCAGCCGTGTTCTATGGAGATCCAGTGTTTTATGATTTGAAATCATAGAGCATTGATATTTAGATTGAAGTAATTTAAAGATACACAGTCTTTTTTTTTTTTAATATTCCAAAGAATGTATCATTTTGTGGAAAAGTTTTATGAAATAATTACTCCCATAACTTTTTTCTGAACCACATATCTAAATGAATGAGATAAAGAATTTTCAGGATATGTGTCAACAAAAAAATTCCTAACAAGCTGCCTCTCAAAAGTTTCTTGGCTTTTGGATTTTTTTTTCCCCCTGAACAGACCATATCCTTAAATGTAAAAGGTCCTGGACTACAGAGGATGGTGCTTGTTGACCTACCAGGTGTGATTAATGTAAGTGTATACAAAGCATGTATCTTATCTTATTCTGTTGTGGCAGACATTTATAATGACCTTTAAAACCTTTTTCTTCAAGACTGTGACATCAGGCATGGCTCCCGACACAAAGGAAACTATTTTCAGTATCAGCAAAGCTTACATGCAGAACCCTAATGCCATCATACTATGTATTCAAGGTAAATCTTATTGAAAGATTTTAATTGCACTAATATTCTTCCTTATTTAGCAATCAAGGTTTGTTTTACACATGTGTTACATAAACACGGGCTTCCCTGGTGGCTCAGATGGTGAAGTGTCTGCCTGCAATGTGGAAGACCCAGGTTCGATCCCTGAGTTGGGAAGATTCCCTGGAGAAGGAAATGGCAACCCACTCCAGTTCTCTTGCCTGGAAAATCCTGTGGATGGAGGAGCCTGGTAGGCTACAATCCATGGGGTCACAAAGAGTTGGATGCAACTGAGCGACTTCACTTTACATAAACATATAAAATAGATGTTTTATTTTGTCCTCTTGTTCATTTTATTAGTAAGTAGAATTGACGTTGGGAATATGTTTGATGAATTTCACTGTGTAGGCATCATAGAAATTCTTATTGGCTAGAATTTCTTTTCACAACTAAGATAAAATATTAAGGAAACATGATCTTACTATAGTGTAGACACAAGATGACACAGTTGTAGCTTCTTGAAGTTTTAAAAACCCACTCTGTAACCATTACTGTGTCATTTTTCAATGTATTTTCAGATGGATCTGTGGATGCTGAGCGCAGCATTGTTACAGACTTGGTCAGTCAAATGGACCCTCATGGAAGAAGGACGATATTCGTCTTGACCAAAGTAGACCTGGCGGAGAAGAACGTGGCCAGCCCCAGCAGGGTGAGGGCAGGCTCTTTAAGCAAAGCGTTAGCTCCGACAGAAACTGACGGGGGCACATCTCCTGGTGAAGTACAAGTAGTAATGGGGTTTTTCTTGGTTTTCATTTAAAAAAAGCAAAGTATTGTAAAGTTATAGTAAACGGCGTAAGTGCAGAATTGAGATTTAAGTTTAATTCTACAGTTATAACTATAGTTTGATTCAAATTCTTAAAACTAATGTTGCTTACTCTAAATTTTGCAGGCTGACATAGTCATGAACCTCATTGTAGTATTTTTTAACAAATTAGTGTAAAACTAGTGACAGTTTAGATTCCTTTTGGACATTACTTATGTTATTCTTTGTTTTAAATTTTTTTATTTTTTTATTCAGATAAATATTACCTTTCTTAACTGATTAAAGAACGTGTGGCAGATTTTCATAATAGAGAAGGCATTGGATGGGGTGTCCAGGCTCAGCATTCTTATCCATGCTCTACCAACAGATGGCTACATGTCCTTGGGCAAATCTTGTTAATTTGTTCTGCATCCAGACAGTGCACAATCCAGTCTATTAGGCTAGTTTATCTCTAGGGTCACTTTCATTTCTTATATTCTTGTGACTTCTATATGAGCTTCCCAGGTGGCTCAGTGATGAAGAATCCACCTGCTAATGCAGGAGACACGGGTTCAATTCCTGGGTTGGGAAGATCCCCTGAAGAAGGATTCTTGCCTGGAAAATTCCATTGTCAGAGGAGCCTGGTGGGCTACAGTCCATGAGGTTGCAAAGAGTCAGACAATTTAGCCACTGAGCATACACGCAAACACACACACATGACATCTATACATGGTGTTCCGTGTCCATTTTCTCCTCCTCCCTTAACAAGGAAAGAATTTTGTTTCAAGGTACCATTGTGTGCAAGTTTTACTAGGGTGTGCTCTCTTCTTAATTGTGAAGGAAATGGCAACCCACTCCAGTATTCTTGCCTGGAAAATCTCATGGACAGAGGAGCCTGGTAGGCTAAAGTCCATGGGGTCGCAGAGTCGGACACAACTGAGCGACTTCACTTTCACTTTAATATAAAAGTGGGTGAAAGTGTGCAAACTAAGCCAGATTGCTTAGTTTCTCATCTGCTCTGCTGTTGCTATGTAATATCGGGTAAGTTATTTCACTTTTTCAGTGCTTTAGGCTATTAGAAATGAAAATATTAATGGTACTAAAATTCTGCAGCACAGCAGATCTGAGTTCCATCCCTGGGTTGGGATGATCCCCTGGAGAAGGGAATGGCAACCCACTCTAATATTCTTGCCTGGAGAATCCCATGAACAGAGGAGCCTGGCAGGCTGCAGTCCATGGATTCATAGAGAGTCTGACACACATGTGCAGCTAAGCAGAAGCACATCTCTTAGGTGATGAAGATTTATTGAGTTAAATGTTTGTTGTAAAGTGGTTGAGCTTAGCATGAAAGTGTTACATAAATTGTGGCTATCATCCATTGTTATAACTTCATCCCCCACAGAACAACAGCTTGAAATATAAGTAGCCATCCCTGTGCTTCTGTTTAGAATTTCTCTCTTTCTCACAAATCTAAAAATTTGTGAGACTATGCCTCTTGTGGTATAGATTCCCAAGAGAGACCACCCCTAGGTTCACTGATTGTCTGGAAGGACTCATAGGACTCAGTGCATAGTCATACTTAGACCGAAGGAAAAGATGCAAGAGATGATGTCTAAAGGAAACCAAGCTCGAGTTTCCAAGAGCCCTTTCCCAGTAGAGTCACAGAGGAAATGCTCAAGCCGCCAGCAACGAGGCACTAACTAGAGACTCGGCACCTAAGGTTTGTACTGGGGGCTGGTCACATAGGCACCCACAAGCACCAAAATTCCAGACGCCCAAAGGAAAGCAGATGTTCAGCATAAACCACATTGATTGCACAGTAAACCACTGTTATTTAGGGAAAGTTCTGTATCAATGTAGGGGATTGTTTACCAGTTAAGTTCACAGATGCCAGCCAAGGACAAGCAGGCCTTTCTGAGGACAGCAGTCTCAAGCCTGCTGTGTTAACTCTGCAGTCTCCATGACCTTAGCTCTGCCCTATTTTCAAGGGGAAGGCCTGCCATGGCAGTATTGGTCCTGATACGGAGAAGGGGGAGAGTGAGGTGGAAGCAAACTTCTGTGTTTCCTTCCCACTTCCCATCTTTTCTTTCATTTTCTTCTCTTCTTTAGGGTAATGAGCTTGTATTTTCTTTAAATACAGTTGAAGCTTGTATCACTTTTCTTTTTACACTGAAGATTTAGCGTTAGCTTAAGAATGTTACTTAGAGGAGGGATTCTTACCTCAATATTTATCTGAATGAGCTTCTGGAAGTAGAAATTCTTTTATATTGTGTGTGAATGATAGATCTCTGCAAATGTGTATTTTTCTGGGGACAGAGTCTGTAGTTTTTATTACTCTTAGAAAAGGAGTTTTGACCCAAAGAGTTAACAACAGTGGATCCAAATTTTTTTTTTCAGAGTTAATTAAAAAAGACCATCCAACTTTGTTAGAATTTAGATATTGGGGAAATAATAATAGTAGCTACTGTTTACTGATTGCGCCTTCGTGCCTGGCACTGTGTTAAATATCATATACTCTTCTCAACTACCATTTTGAAAAGTTAAGTAACTTACTTAAGGCCACATACCTAGTAAGTGACAGAGCAGAAATTCAAAATAAGGCCTGATTCTAAGTCACTGTACATCATTCCAAATTCTAATTTTGGTACTTATGTTTTAATAAGACATTTTTGATATAACAAAATTAAATGTGTTTTATTTTTTCCTCAAATAACATTTGAAATACATTTCAGCACTTGTACAGACATACATTAACCTAAACATATACAAATACAGCATTGTTAAATTTGCCTTCTAAATAGCATATTATGCTTTAAAATTATGTAAACTCACCTGTCATGTTTCTTTTTTACCACTTTTAAAAATAGATTCAGCAGATAATTGAAGGAAAACTCTTCCCAATGAAAGCTCTAGGTTATTTTGCTGTTGTAACAGGAAAAGGTATGCAAAGATGGATTATTACAGTTTTTTGTTGTTTTCAAGTAATAAAAATGAACTTAGAACTTTACCACCGTCTTTCCCTAGGAAACAGCTCTGAAAGCATTGAAGCTATAAGGGACTATGAAGAAGAATTTTTTCAGAATTCAAAACTCCTAAAGTAAGTATCTTGTTGAAATCTTTAAAGAATTTATAGTGAGGGAGTAACTTCAGCTGTTTTCAATTTAAAAGTTTTCTTATAACTGTCAGTTTAACATTGACTTTCCAGAGATGAATTCTCAAATAGTGATCTGTATCTAGTAAGCAAGTCTTCAGACTACTGTGACAAAGTTGGGAGCAATTTATCACATAGTACAAAACTGTGTCATAATTACCTGCCCCTTGGTATATGGGCACTGGAGACAACACTGATACCTCTTAAGTTGTTTTACTTACAAGGTGATTTTTTAAAAATCAACACTTAGATTTTTAAATACTTGTCCAGATTTCTCTTAGAGTATTGGGGAAAGTTGGAGTGAGAGGTGGCAGTGTCAAAGGGGTATCCTTAAATAGATACTGACAAATGTTAACAGAAAATAAGATACTAACAGAAAAGCAAAAAGGAGATGCTAAAGAGCAACTGAATTTTAAAACATTGTAACATGTAGAGAGTCTTGAGCTGAAAGAATGAATGTGTTTGCCTCTATATTAGTAATGTAAGTCAAGGTAGTCTTTTCACCCATTGTCTTGAGAATTATCTTTTGGGAAGCCCTGCATGCCAAGCAGGAGACTTGGGTTTAATCCCTGGGTCAGGAAGAGTCCCTGGAGAAGGAAATGGCAACCCACTCTAGTATTCTTGCCTGGAGAATTTGATGGACAGAGGAGCCTGGTGGGCTCCAATACATGAAGTCTCAAAGAGTTGGACACGACTTAACGGCTAAACAGCGACAAGAACTAAGCTCTTCGGTACTAACAGTAGTCACTAACCTGTGTGCTTGTTTGAATTCAGATCAGTTAGCACTAAAGAAAACTGGAGTTTCTCAGTCACACTAGCCACACATTTCAAGGTGTCATTAACCCCACGTGACTAGTAGCTGCACAGATATAGATTATTTATCATGGAATGTTCATTGGATAGCCCTAGCATAAAGTAATTAAGTGGCTGTTCTCATAATATACTTTGGTTATTGTTTTGTAGGACAAGCATGCTAAAGGCACACCAGGTGACTACAAGAAATCTAAGCCTTGCTGTATCAGACTGCTTTTGGAAAATGGTACGAGAGTCAGTTGAACAACAGGCCGATAGTTTCAAAGGTACGTTGGGTTTTTAAAATAAGCTCTCAAATTTATGTATTTTATTACCTGACAGACTTAGGCATCCATCAGATTCTTGACTTCCTTTAACAATTGCTTTTTGTTCATTTATTATAAGGTAGTATGTGGGAAATGGAAAAATACCAATCTTCAGTTGTATGAGAGCAGGATTTTTCCTTTTGGAGGAACAGTTGCTGGAAGCACATTACAAAGTTTAACAAAAAGTTTGCAGTAATATTTGAGAGAAAGAACCTAGAAAACTGTACAGAACTCAGATTCCGCCTTGTTAGAGGAATGAGAGGAAATGTGTTGGGTGGCAGAGCAGCCAGTGTACTTTCAGATATATTGTACTGGTTTCTGAATCCCAGGCCTTCCTTTTCCATGGCTTTGCTTGCTTCCATAGTTTCATTTGGCCAGAGTATACTTTCCTTCCATTTTCTCATTAGGAAATCCTACCTATTTATCCCATTAGTCCCTCAGCAATCTTGTATTATTCTCATTTTACCAAAGAGCAGACTGAGGCAGAGAATAACTTGCCTAAGTAATAACGTACCCAGCATCACACAGTAATAGATAATAGACCTGGGATTTGAATGGAGTTCAGAATCAGAATTGAGTTGGTGGCTTGACTTCAGAGTCCCATGCTCTTAGCAACTGTACTAAATTGTGTCATCTGTATGATCTGTGGATTGAAAATGGAAAAACTAAAGTCAAAAGGATTATATTGGAAAACTGTTACAGTAATGCAGATTCTGAGATATTGAGACAGAGAAGGACATGGCAACCCACTCCAGTATTCTTGCCTAGAGAATTCCGTGGATAGAGGAGCCTGGTGGACTGCTGTCCATGGGGTCACACAGAGTCGGACACGACTGAAGCAACTTAGTATGCATGCATGCGTGCATTGGAGAAGGAAATGGCAACCTACTCCAGTATTCTTGCCTGGAGAATCCCAGGGACGGAGGAGCCTGGTGGGCTGCCATCTGTGGGGTTGCACAGCCGGACATGACTAAAGCGACTTAGCAGCAGCAGCAGATACAGAGATCCCAGATTTCTCAGGAGCTATCAGTGCACATTCAGAAATTCAGTTAATATACCAGATATGTGAGATAGCCTTTAACCAATGTGTCTGGAACAAAGGAGAATCCTCAAACCTGAACATCTTTCCTTCTTCCTCAGCAACACGTTTTAACCTTGAAACTGAGTGGAAGAATAACTATCCTCGCCTGCGAGAACTTGACCGGGTAATATTTGTGTGACTTCTGAATTTTGTGTATATCTAATTTAATATTGTCCTCTAACAAAATTTAAGTTGATGAATAAGATCTGGTAAGCTAAATTGTTTTTAACCATGATTACTAATTTTAGAGTTACAGGAATACATTTGAAGGAACAGTTGTCACTTCTACAATAATTTAAATCGTTTATTACATAATACTAAAAATCAGGGATTCTAGCATTTGCAAGCAAGTATTTAAAAAAATTTTTTCTGAGAAGTTGAAGACTGTTCTTTCAAGGTCTTATAAATTAACATGTTTATGTAATATAAACTTTTAAAAATTATGCATCAGCTTTTTAACCTTTTTAGTATTTATACTCTTAAGTTAATAGGACTTAAGTATTGGTTTTCCTTTATTTTAAAATGCCATCAGTTGTGAAACAGCATCAGATACTGTCATTACTATAGTAAATTAATATGTGTTGACAGCTGTCACATAACATTACATGGAAAACTTACCTAAACAAATGTTACATGAAAAGCTACATTCAGAATTGAGTGAATAACTAGGCATTTGTGTCAGTTTTTGTGTCCTTATCTGGTTATTGGCATTCCTAAAGAGAGTCTAGAAGAGAAGAGCATTACTTGCAGGTCATGGATGCTTCAAACCTAAGCCCAGCCAGTAGCCTATCACAGGCTTTCCTTTTAGTTATCTCTGAAAATCATGGCAGGACAAATTGACTGTCTTATGAAAATCTTACTTAATTGTATCTATGTTGCCTAGAATGAACTATTTGAAAAAGCTAAAAATGAAATCCTCGATGAAGTTATCAGTCTGAGCCAGGTTACCCCAAAACATTGGTGAGTATTTGACCTTTTCTCAAAGACTTTACTATGTGAATTATAATGGAATACTAAAATTTAGATTGATAAAGTAGTGATTTATTGTAGCCTTGGCTCATCCCCCAAGCACTTAGGAAACAGACAAGAACATAAAAATGTCTTTTTATAAAATAAAACCACTATTTTAGTCTAACCAATTAAATATTTTAAGTATAATGAATTAGGTATTTATTAAGTTTCTTGGAGAAGAGATATTCTGAAAGGTAGCTTTCGCCATGCTCTTTTGAAATCTTAATTCATCTTAGGTTTTTCCTTACCTTATACTTAAAAAATAATTATAAGGTAAGGAAAAACCTAAGATGAATGTTTTGTTAGATCGTGCTTTAGCTAAGTATCAAAACAGTCTGTCAAAACAAGTTATTCTTGTTTGATCACACATAGAGAACAAAACTACAGAGAAAGTTGATTTGTAAAAGGAGAAGAGTATATTATTTTAAAATTCTCATATCTACATAAGAACACTGGTGCTTTTATAATATGTGTCTAATATGTTTTATGCAAATCACATTTGAAAATGAATCCTATTTGAGATTTTTTTAAGATAGCAAGTAAATGTACTCTTGAAAAATACTCATGCAAATTGCTTTTAAGGCCAACTGTCATCTTCAATTTATGTGTTATATCAATGTGTTGGAATGGCACTGTAACCAAACTAGGGTCCATGTATCTTAAGCAAGCTATATATAAATATCCTTTAAGTTTTTATAATCTGTATTATAAAATTAATAAATAACATTTAAAAATGACCTTCATAATAAAATCAGTAGTATTTTAAGAATTTATTAACCTCAGAGTAGAACTGTCTTTACTACCATTTATTATAAATACTTTTTCTTTAACTTTTATATGCTCAGTTGAAGATTATCAAAATTGAACATAGACAGTAGTATCCATTCCTGAAGTTTATATTCTGTGCTAGTTTCCTTACATTGGTGCCCTTTCTTCCTCAGTAATCTCTTAAAATAATCAAAATTTGATTTTGATTTTAAAGTAAAATCTCTTTTCTCTCTTAATCAAAATTTGCCTATTTTTAATCTCTTCTCCTTGTCCAAAAAAGAATTCTGATCTTACCTGTATTTGTTGATTAATCTGAGCCATCAGGAAAGTGCGCGCACACACATACACACATAGCAAATTTTTTATCTTTATTGGAGATGCGAGTTCCATTCTTGGGTTGAGAAGATCCTCTGGAGAAGAAATGGCAACCCACTCCAGTATTCTTGCCTGGGGAATCCCATGGACTGAAGAGCCTGGCAGGCTATAGTCCATGGGGTCGCAAGAGTCAGACACGACTTAGCAATTAAACAGCAGTGCTTTTCTGTAAGTCATCCAGCTTTTGAAGTTTGCCAGAGATAGATATGTGTGTGTCTGCATGTAAACATATACATACATACATACAGAATGAATAATACTATTGACCTTACTAGATTGTTTGAGGATGATGTACAAAAAAAGTGATTTGTAAAACTGTAATAATTGTAATGCTATTTATGGAGAAAAATGTGCCTTTATAAATTTCTGGCATCATCAAATGGAATGGTTAGTTTTGTTTGGACAGAGGAAGTTTGAAATCAAAGTATACATACACTTAAGTGAGCCTAGAAGATAAACGCTTTGGTGGTGAAGTGAATTGTGAAGGGACAAGAAAACTATATTGTCAAGATTGCCTATTGAGCCAGCAAGGAGAGAACTAGGACATCTGGTTGCTAGAGATTTATTCTTTGAGTTGCTGGATATTTTCATCACCACCCCTCTTTTTCCCCAGATTCTGTAGATTAACACAAACATTGATCACAGGTCCTAATCTTAGCTGTTTGTGCCACATTGATATCAACTGCATTGCACCCAAAATGTTTTATTTTTGTGACATAGTTTATGTTGTATTAGGTAGTATCTTTTTGCTGCTTAATGTCTTATGTGACATTTTAGGGTACACCTCTATAATGTTTATTATTATTTGAGTCACAGGACTGTTTGATCTGTATTTGGTGATCCAGAAACGCTCTTACAAGCTTTTTGTCTACTGTATTTCAGTTATATTTTAAGAAAGTTTTTGGAGGTTTAGATTTGACTTACGATTCATTATAGTGAGAAATACCCTCTCAGCATTTTCACATAGTATACTTACTTGATCATTAGGAGTCGATTATGGACACTAGCAGTAAATAATTATCCTTATTTAGAAGGATAACTGGCTGGATTTATAGAAATACACTTAAAAAATGGTATCATGGTATGCATACATTTTTTGGTGAGAAGTATTAAGTTTATTTTGTTGTAGTTAAAAGAATGAAAGGAAAATAGGAATGCATAGTTAAGCACCCTAACTCTGTTGTAAAGAATCAAAAAATATTCTTATAATCTGAGATTTAAAGAATATATAGGTGCTAGGTAAGCCAGTGACCAGAATATTTCAGAGGCCAAGAGATGAGAGCAAGAAAAATGACACGGGTAACTTAAGGCAGTTACTTATGGTTTTAGCATAGAAGAAGCAAGAGGCAGAAGATGAAATAAATGTAGATATAAACAAAATATAGATGATTAAGGGCCTTAGATACCATGTTCAGAAGGTTGGAATTTGTCCTATAAGCAGTCAGAACCAGTGAAGGATTTCACTGAAGAGTTTCAGATTTGCGTTTTAGACAGATTTTTTTAATAGGGGTGGTGGAATACAGGTGGAGAAAACTGAGCAAGGAGACAGTTGGCTTTTGAGATAGTCTAGATGAAAAGAGAATAGTGACTAGAATAGTAGTTGTGCAGATGGAGAAGAGAGTACATTTTTGAGATATTTGAGAGGTTACCTAGAGGATAGAAGTGATAGTATAAGTGTAAAGAAATTGAAAACTAGCTTTTTATTTGGAATTACATAATATTTGATTTATGCATAGAGTGGATTGCTCTGTAGCCATTGAAAAGTATAGGATGTTAACGTGGAAAACCATGTACTATCTAGCTTTATGTTGTATTAATTAAACAGTATGTGTAATATCACCTGTGTCAACACACAAATAGTAATGTAGGCATTAAATTTTTTAAATGATAAATTAAGCTGTGAATAGTGATCATCTGGTGGCTTAGATGGTAAAGAATCCACCTGCAGTGCAGGAGACCTGGGTTTGAACCCTGGATTGGGAAGAGCCCCTGGAGGAGAACATGGCAACCCACTCCAATATTCTTGCCTGGAGAATTCCATGGACAGTGGAGCCTGATGGGCTTCAGTCCATGGGGTCACAAAGAGTCAGACATGATTGGGTGACTGACACTTTTACTTTCAGTGAAAGACAAATTATGGAGGACTTCTTTTTTTGTGTTGATTTTAAATTATTTTATGGAGTAAGTCCTATGCTTTAGAAGAAGAAAGAAAAAAATTTTTAATTGAAAGAATATATAGGTAAAGTTTGGGAGATAAAGAGGGTAATAAATAGAACTATAATGGTAACTGTATTTTGTGTTTTAGTGGTACATGGAATCGCAAAGGGTTGGACACGACTGAGCGACTGAACTGAACTGAATCCCTAGATGATTGCAAGACTTAGAGTAGAGAAGCCTTCAGTTACCTAGAACATATGCTGGGGAATTGGCCAATGTAAGCTGAGGACTAGTGGTTTGGAAGAGAAGTTGTGGGACTGGGAGAACATAGCTTCCTCTTCCTAACACTGAAGCACATGCAGCTAATTAGGAACTTCCAGGCAGAATTTGAAGATATCATTGAGGGTCCTTTGCAAAAAGTTTACCTAAGGTTTGTCAGAATTTGATGGTCTGGAATTTTTTTATGATCACTTTGAAAAGGTGTATGGGTTGTAGAGTCTTGTCACAGACTGCAGCAGGAGCAGCTAAAGGCCATCGTGGTCAGAGGCTGACTCCTGATTTTTTGTTCATCTTTCAGAAGTCTAGAGTTTGTGTTTAAAGTTACCTGAATAGATGACCCTGATAAGCTTCTTTTCTTCCATCTTGCTCTTAAAATTCTCCCATTATCTGTCATTATCACCATGACTAAATGGACTTTGTCCTTCTAACCCTCATTGTGCATCCTCTCCTCACACTCTTTCTGTCTCCTTTCTCCCTCCCTTCCTCCCTTCTGTTTTTATTGAAATATAGTTGATGTACAGTATTATGTTAGTTTCAGTGTACCACACAGTGATTTGACATTTGCATACCTAATGGAACAATCACTGTAAGTTTAGTAACCATCTGTCCCCATGTGAAGTTATTACATTATTATTGGTCATATTCTTCATGCTGTATATTATATCCCTGTGACTTATTTATTTTACAACTGGATGTGTATACCTTTTCATCTTCTTCACCTGTTTGGTCCTCCCTTGCATACTTTTGTTTTCTGGTTGTAATAGAAAAAAGACCTGAAAATTAACAAAGGAAAACCTGCAGCTAAACTCATTGACCCAATAGACTTAATGTTACACAAAATGTTGAGTGAATATGAGTCAGCTTGCACAGTAGGGAGTGTTGAGTCTCCTCAACCAAGGAAAGTACAGTTTGGCTTTTGGACAGAAGAGGGTGTTTCTGTTACCCAGAGCTTTGTAACTGTATCCGAAAAGGTGAGATTACTTTTAAAACTGATCACTTGATAAGCAGGGTGTTTTTGTATGTTGTAGCACTGTTTTACAGTAGAGATTAATTTTCGAGAATTTGAATAAATATTTTCTAGAAATTACAAATTTTTTCTTGATTAAAATAATTTTCTTTTTTCTATTTAGAGAACTGTGTTCTTGTAAGATGTCTTTTAAGGTACAATTTTCAGCTTGATTATTCATCCTTTATATTATCATGAAATGTTGAGCAGTTTTACCTAGCAACATACCATAGCATCTCTCTGCTCTGTGCTGATAAATTATTAAAATTGTACCAAGAAGTGTACAGTCTTGGACTCCGCTTCACAGTCAACACATATAAAGTGTGTATTAATATTAGGTAAATGAGTACATAAAAAGATACTTAGAATTACTAGTCATTAGGGAAATGCAAATTAAAACCATACTGAGATACCACTGTACACCTATTACTACAATGACAAAAATGGAAATGACTTATCATACCAAATGTTGGCAAGATGTAGAGGATTTAGAACTTTCATACTCCTCTGCTGAGAATGTAAAGTGGTTCAGTCAATTTGGAAAATGGTTTGACAGTATCTTATAAAGTTAAGTATATAATTACTGTATGATCCAGACATTCCACTCCTCGCTATTTGCCAGAGAGGAATAATAGCCTATGTCATACACAAACTTGTATTGATACATGAATGGTCATAGCAGCTTTATTTGTGATAGCCAACAACTGGTAACAACCCAAATGTTCATCAGAAGGTGAATAAGTAAACAGATTCATGTAATGGAATATTCAGTTCAATTCAGTTCAGTCGCTCAATCATGCAACCCCATGAACCACAGCATGCGAGGCCTCCTGTCCATCACCAACTCCCGGAGTCCACCCAAACCCATGTCCATTGAGTCAGTGATGCCGTCCAACCATCTATACTCAGCAAAAAAGGAAGTGAAATACTAATATACACAATGTTATGGATAAGTCTCAGTTACGCTGATGCAAGAAGACAAACTAAGAGTACATGGTATATGATTACATTTACATTAAGCTGTAGAAAATACAATCTGTAGTGACAGAAAGTAAATCTAGTGGCTACAGCTTTTGCAGATGATGAATATGTTCATAATCTCGATTTCTGTGATGCACAGATGTGTATGTATGTCAAAACTTTAAATATATGCAACTTATTGTAACTTAATGACAATTTTAATGATACTTTAATGAAGCTGTTTATAAAAACTTGATATTATGTTTGAATTTGGTGTTCTTGGAACTTTTTTTTTTTTTAATTTCAGGGAGGAAATCCTTCAGCAGTCTTTGTGGGAAAGAGTATCAACTCATGTGATTGAAAACATCTATCTTCCAGCTGCACAGACCATGAATTCTGGGACTTTTAATACGACAGTGGATATCAAGCTAAAACAGTGGACTGATAAGCAGCTTCCTAATAAAGCAGTCGAGGTTAGGATATAATTTAATTAAATGGGTAAGAAGCATTATCTGAAGAGAGTAGGACCTGTGAATTTTATGATTTATTCCCATCACAGTCTCTCTGGTTCCTTTGGTTCTGAAACTCCTTTTATTCTTTATTGCTGATCTCTGTGTTGGGATTAACTTTAATGCTGCTATCGTTACTACTATTAAAAAGTTTTGCTAATTGCTGTGGTGTTGGTGTGAGGGTATTGGTTTTCCTTCCAAAGGTGACATTTAACAAAACAAGCAAAATTTGCTTGAATAGGAAATACTTTTAAATTCTTCTGTGGTTAGATATGCCATAAGGAAAATGTTTAACAGATGAAACATTTCATTTGTTTTCTGCAGGGTTCAATTTTAATTAAATAGTTTCCTTAGTTAAGAGCCTGCCAAAAGGTTAGACTAGGAGTATAAGAAAGTTACATGTTCCTCTTAGAGAATGCATTTCTAATACCTGTGTACCTTGGTTCTACCACTTTGCAATTGTATGATCTTTGGGCTGTTTGCTTAGTAATGTTTCTGTTTTCTCATCTCTAAAATAAGGGGGAGGGACCGGGATGGGGAATACATGTAAATCCATGGCTAATTCATTTCAATGTATGACAAAAACTACTGCAATGATGTAATTAGCCTCCAACTAATAAAAATAAATGGGAAAAAAAAAAGATATATTCCAAAAAGTAAAAAAAAATAAATATAAAATAAAATAAGGGGGAAATGTGGCCTACATAAAACATTGTTATAAGGAGTCAAGAGTTAACATATATAATACGTAGACGATGTGTGGTCCATGGTAACCACTTGGTAAATGCCAACTGCTTTACAATGATGACCATCATCATCCAAATTGATCTTGCCATGCACGTTACTTTGAAGAGTGATTGTTGTAGATCAGAGTCAGTGTGTTCTCTGCCTCTGTGTGAAGTTGCTCACAAAATTAGAATCCATGTTAAAAATAATTTTGTTTTTCATACTTACTAGAAACAAAATGTCAGTGTCTACTTATTCAAGTGTATTTTACCCTTGCCTATCCTGCCAGTCTTTGCTTCTTTATCTCTGCTCTCAATTTCCTCAAGTCTCTTTTTCTGAGAATTCTTGCAGCCATTCTGCCTTCAGGTGTTCCTGATCCCTGGTCTCAACACATTTCCCCCTAAAGTAATTAGAGAGCTGCTGCCACCTCTTCTCACAACTGGCCCTGACATGGGCCATGTCCCATGATAGCGTATTTTCATATCCTAAGGTTCAAGCAGTGGAAGCAGTCATAAAAATGGCAAGTGACTCTCTCTTTTGCTACTTTCTCCCTTCACACCTAGGTGTGGTAGGAAGACATGAACCTGCTGAAGGTCAGGAAACAGATTTTAATACCTCACTCTGTATTCTTGGACAGTCACCTTCTTTATGCCATAATTTCTTCATGTCTAAAATGAAGAAGGCAGAACATTAAGTACAACAGTAGCTAGCCCACGCGGTCCTAAGTAGGTTTAGTTCTTAATTGCTTTTGACACTGTTCTCTCGTTTCACTGTTCAGATCATTGGGAATTGGTAGTAGTACAAAACTCAATAGTACTCACCTTTGTTTGAAAGTGTTGACACATTGCTTCATATGTTTGCATAAGGGCAAAGATGTGAAAAAGACTAAAACATTAAAAAATTTAAAACTTTTTACAGTATGAAAGAGGCAGGCAAACTCAGATGTTGTACAGAGTGAAGTAAATAATAAGTAAGTGAACTGAGTCTGGTGGCGGATGGGGGCTGCATGCTTTCTCTGCTCCAGTGGGCAGAGGTGTGTAGAACGTGGGCCCAGTGTTGCTAGACAGTTCAAGTGAGACTGGGAACAGATTTTATATGAAGTCTCTCAGTTTTTAAATGTTGGTTACCAATCTTTTTTAAATTTAGGAGGCCATATATGTGTTGTAACAAAACATGTCAGTAGGCCAGATCTATCCCACCAGCTACTAGTATGAGGTCTTTAGGGTAGAGTTTGTATTTGCTATCTTTTTTTAAAAATGTGATTTCATAATGTAATTTCTGATACACTGATTTATCACAGCTACTTGGCTTATATTCATGTGTTTATTGTTCCTGTTACACATTAAATGAAAGTATGAATATAAATACAGCTTTTTTCTTTTAAATCGTTCTAGGTAGCTTGGGAGACCTTACAAGAAGAATTTTCCCGCTTCATGACAGAACCAAAAGGAAAAGAACATGATGACATATTTGATAAACTCAAAGAGGCTGTTAAGGAAGAAAGTATTAAACGTCACAAGTGGAATGACTTTGCAGAGGACAGCTTGGTATGTCATTTGTGTATTAGGATGCCAGTCTCCTATTTTTGTGTGATTTCTCAAATTGATATTCTTTTATAGGAGACTATTTTTATGAGTTTAGGTTCTGCGTTGAAAATACTGAAAATAATGAAGGGAAGAAATAGATTTATAGAATGCAACCAGCCTTTTGACGTTTCTCTGCCCTTCTAAAATCACCCTCTGCTCTTTCTTCCTTGGCTATCATTTCAGAAAAAAAAAAAAAAATCAAACCTTACAGTAAACAGGTTTCTGTAAACTTCCACAAAATTTGCATGGGCCTGAGCTATAGATGCTTCTCATTTTACCCTCAGTGATAACAAAAGGAATTAGATGCATTGGTTTTCAATGGAACTGAGTCAAAATGTTTAACGACTCCTAAAATCATAATATGTTGGATGCTTACATGGTACCAGAAGCTCGGCTATGTATTTTATAAACTTTATTTTATTTCAATCTTAAGCATATCTGTTATTGTCACTTGCAAAGCTGGGATACACGCTCCCTCTCTGTCTTGGTTATAAAGAAAGGCCTGGCTCCTGACCTTCATCACCTGATAAATTTTTTGTTATGTAGAATGTTCTCATCACCATAGTCAAACCCTCATTAAGCATGGGTTCTGCTGAGTTATGAGAGGAACTGTTGGTAAGATTGCTCTGTTTTCGGAAATGCATATCTCACTATGGGCTAATCCTAATTACAAGGTGGGTTTTTTTTTTTTAAGAAATATTTGTCTTCATGTTTGAAAGCCATATACATTCTTGTTAAGCATCTTACTAAGATTGGTTTTCTGAGAGAGAATGGTGCCATTTTCATTCATTCATTAATTTAAAAAGTGTAAGATTTGAAAACTAATGTTTTATAAGTAGTTCACATTTACTTAGGATTGTGTAGGCCTTTTAAGCCTCCTTCCATTACATTTTCCATTGCTGTTAACAGTGAGATAATGTTTATTGCTTTTTTTCTTCTTTTCCTTTTTTTTTGAAAATGCTGACGTGTAGGTCATACAGCAAAAGAAGCAGTAGATACAATCTGAACCATTAGCTCCTGAGTACCAGGATTCTAGGGTGTAACTTGAAGTATACAGGACGCTGACGCAAGCAGATAATGGGACCCTCTGCATTTGCATGGGAGGGACATACTTTTATGTTATTGTAGATACATCTCTTAGCTTGGATATTTGCTGAGCTGTTGGTTAGAAAAAAGTTACTAAGATGACAAGACATAAATCAAAGTGGTTGTTTTTCTTTGTTATTTCAGAGGGTTATTCAACACAATGCTTTAGAAGATCGATCCATATCTGATAAACAGCAATGGGATGCAGCTATTTATTTTATGGAAGAGGCTCTTCAGGCTCGTCTCAAGGATAGTAAGTAGGAATGTGGATTATTAAGTTCTTAGTATTCTCAGTGGAAAGTCATCTAACTTTAGTGAACATTGGTTAAAAAAGCGTTAACATCGCAAGTTCTTTGTCAGTGCTACTCTAGTTGAATATTATTTGTGCAGTTTTTCAGTCAACTGCTTGTAACTACTAAAATGTTAAATTGGACACATGTTTATGTGTAATTATATTCTTAAAAGCTGTAATTCAGACTATTTTAGTATTTGCTGCTATACTTATGGAAACGTCATAAGCGATTATAGTTTTCATAGATTCTAAACATATAAAATTAAATTCTTTAGCTTCTATATGCACCATATCAATCATATAATTTTTTCTTTATTTCAACTGACTTTATTGACACAGTGTTTTGAAGTAGTTAAGAAGGCAATATAGTTATATTTTATGTGCCTGGTAAGTGATAAATTTTTTTTTAATTTTTCTAGCCGAAAATGCAATTGAAAATATGGTAGGTCCAGATTGGAAAAAGAGGTGGTTATACTGGAAGAATCGAACTCAAGAACAGGTAAAAACAAACAAATCTTTAGCATTTTAATTCAGGCATTAAAATATAATTTCTGAATGCCTCTAGACCAAACTTAATAATTTCAAATATTTTATATCAGCCTTTCTAAAATATAATAAATCTGTAGAATAAACTACAAAAGAAAATTTTTTAAAAAGTGAGGTAGCTGTGTTATTAAAAAGAGTGATTGATTATTTTGTTCATTTGAAGTGCCTGTTTGAGGTAAAATAAAGACTGAAGTTTAAACAGAAGAAAAAAACGATAAAGATTTCAGAGGATGTAGAATAAATGTGATTAGAATAAAAGATATGATAACTTTTATTTGGTTATCACTTAAATTTTCTGTTAGTTGTCTATTCAAGTTATTCTTTTGCATTTTTTGCTCCTGTGCTTATAAAATAAGTTTAAAAATTCAGACAGGAAGTAGAATTATATAATTCATTCATTTTATAAACATTTAATTAGCACTTTAACAAAATGGTAAGGCAAACATAAGTAACTTTATAAGTGAATAAATAGAAGGAAAATGTGTAGTCAATAAAATCCTCTCTCTACCCATTTTTGTTCCTTCCTTTTTATAATTTCTTTTCCTATTAGCATTGAGTCTTACACCACGATCTCTTATGTTAATTCCTTAAATAAAGATTGTAAATAGAATATAGAATCAAAATACATAGATGAAGAAAGTAATGGATAAGAAAAAGAGGTGGCATACAATTCATTTCCTTTCTTCCTTTCTTGAATCCATATAATTAGCAAAATGAGACCATCAAATGTGGAAATACTGAAAGAGCAGATAAAGAGAATGAAAGGTTACCAAATGATATATCACTTATATTTTTTTTCTTTATTTTTTATTTTCATTTTTAAAAGAATTATATATATATATTAATTATATGATCAGCATCCTATTATTTTTTCTGGTTTTAGGCATTTCTTGTTTCATAAGCTGACTATCTTGAGTCCCAGTTGTCTTAAAATAGTGAAGGGATAGTCTTCCTCCTTTCTTTTTCTTTCTAATTTGATTTTTTTGGGAAAATGAGTCATGAAGAGACTGAAGAGAAGCTGATGAAGTTGACAGAATTACGGTTGGGTCTTGCCTGTGTTCCCCTGAAGAAGGAAATGGCAACCCACTCCAGTATTCTTGCCTGGAATATCCCATAGATGGAGGAGCCTGGCTGGCTACAGTCCATGGGGTTGCGAAGAGATGAACACGACTGAGCAACTTCACTCACTTGCCTGTGTTCAGAGTACATCAGTTACCTCTGCTGTCCACATGGGCTTCGGGGAGGCAGTCTTCAAAAAAGAATTTTAGGGCTATCTATCGGAGATTTCTGACTTTGAGACAGGAAGAGACATTGATTAGAAAGAACTGGTGTAAGGCAGATAAACTCCAAGGAAAATGGTGTCTGACCCTTAAGGCTTAGTTAGGCTTAATTAGGTCTAGAACAACCAATGATGGCAGAACTTACTTCAGCAACTAGTTGTAAACATGCTTTAGCCAAACATTCTCAGAGAGGAATGGTTCCTGGTTGTATGTTACTTTCTCAGGAACTTGAACTTACAGGGAATCCCTTAAAAGAGAAGCAGGGGAATTACTGGACTGACCAAAAAGTTCGTTCAGGTTTTTTCCATAAAAAACAACAACAGGAAAAACCTGAACAAACCTTTTGGCCAACCCAGAAGTTTTAAGGTCAAAGCAAGGATCTATAGAGGAAACTTTCTTTTAGGGTTTCAGGGCAGCGTGCATAAGATCCATAGATGAATGGAGGCCATAGTTTGGAGAGGGGAGTGACAGGAGAATCACAGGGGAGGTGTTTGTATATGTATGTTTTGTTTTCTCTTTCAGTACATAGCTTCATGTCAGACCCACCGAATTAAGTTCTCCTTCTCTAGTCTCTCTAACCCTCCCACTCCCAGGTGAAAACCACTGGAGCCTTCATACCTGGAGGCTTTAGTGAGAAACTGATTCTAGAAGAGATTGAGAATATTCCTAAAGTCTCATGCTGCAAATTTAGATAGCTCTGTAACAGTCTCATTTCTTTTTGAATTGGCAGATTTAGATAGCTCTGTAACAGTTTCATTTCTTTTTGAATTGGCAGGACTTAGGAAAAGAAACAAGATTGTCCTGTGTTGAAAAGGAGAAATCCATGTTCTAAAAATTATTTTTTGCTTTTGTATTGTTACTTTTCCTTAATCGGGGGTGGGGGGAGGGGGGAATCCATTCCTTTGAAGCATTCTCACTTTGAGCTAAACTAATGGAAAATTGGTCAGGATACATGGGCGAGTAGTAGCCTCCTGGACACCCAGTATGATGGGGACAGGTGGACAAATGGAAGTGAAACAGTGCAGGAAGAGTGGGAGGATGTCATGATTAGAGATTTCCTTCCTCTCTCGGACCAGATAGCAGAAGTTTAAGAAAGCAGTGAAATTTCTCTTTATTAAATGTCTTTTAATGTATCATGTTTTCAGAGAATATTATTTAGTAGTTTCATTTACAAGCCATTTCTTTGTGTTTAAGTGTTATTCTTATGGGCAAAGTGCTATGGCAGTAACTTGTTTCCTGTAATTCAGTGAATTTGAAGCTAGTTTCGTGTACCATGTAATTTGGAAAGGATGGAAAACTGAAAATATAAATTTACTTTGACACCATATTCTAGTTTTGCTTTCAAAGTTATCACTAGTGTGTGTGTTTTTCTCATTTGGTGAAGAGATTATAAGCAATATAATTGTTAAGAGACTGGAAGTGAATTTAAGAATGATAGATACCTCACAGAAGCAGTCTAATAATGATTTTTAATGAAAAGACTTAAATATTAATTTCATATTTAATTTATCAGAAAAGGACTATGTGAACAGGCACAGAGCCTTATAGTCATCCAGTTTTTAGATTTAAGGCATTCATAGAACATTATTTCTTCCCATGTATACAGGGTGCTTTTTCCTAGATTGAACTTATACCCTAAGGTCAAGAAAGGAAGTGCATAGTAAGGTGTCTGGTTCTCTAATTTGGACAGCAAAACATTTCAGCCAAAGTAAAATACAGCAAATAGGGCTAATCCCCTTAGCCCTGTGGCCCTTCGTATGTCCAGGTTGTTTTGCATTCACAAACCGTGCTGTTCTGTTCTTCCTTGTTTGCTGTAATTGGGCGTGTGACACCAGTCGTGCCGAAGTAATATGTTTATTAAAAATGGAACTCTGTTTTTATAATTATGCCAAATCATGAACTATCTAAACACAGTCCTCTTTTAAACATTTCAAAGTGTGTTCACAATGAAACCAAGAATGAGCTGGAGAAGATGCTGAAGTGTAATGAGGAGCACCCAGCTTACCTTGCGAGTGATGAGATAACTACAGTCCGAAAGAACCTTGAATCACGAGGAGTAGAAGTAGACCCAAGCTTGGTAATGAATGTTTCTGAAAAGCATGAGTTTGCTTCCTGAGTCTTTGTTTCTTGTAGTAAAATGTTATTACTTCGAATATATTACCTAGATACTTAAGTACTTAATTTGATTTTGATCATGGATACTTTTGCTGACAGAAAGAACTCAGTGATTTTGAGTGTGGAAAAAATTTGAAATTTTATTCTCAGTATTATTAAGTGTAATGCTTTAGTTTGTAAATGGGGAACCTGAGACCTAGAAAAGGGAAGTATCTGGGCAAATTTAGCAGTTAGTTCTGGCAAAAGGGGATGAAACACATTCACATCTCTGTACCACATTACACTGGCTCAGATTACAAAATAAAATTTTTGCTTAAATATAGTTCATTTATATGTATTTTTTTTCAGTCAGATGTATCTTAATCATACTTAATGTGTATGAGTAAATTGGATAATGCCTTTGAGTTCTATCTCTTTGCTCTTTATAAATAAATATGAGGCTATATAATTATAGTTTAAAGTACTTTTTTGCTTATTTCATGATGCTTATTTGGAGAAAGTCTTTAAAAAGCAATTGTGTTTCTGGATCTATGTTCCCTAGTTAGGGTGTAAAGAATCAACTTCATTTTAATATTAGCTTAAGTGAATTCCATTTAGAAAAGTAATTCTAGTGGGTAAAACAATCATTTAAGAAATTTCAGAGCCATATATAAATTCTTTTAAAGAGTATTTGCTATTTATGTTTCTGCACTTGAGAAAAGAGTATACTTATTTAAAAAATTCACCAGAGATCAGAACAATAAAAGAAAACTGATGAAAAGAAACAGATAAAGCTGTTATATATCTCATTGTTTGTAAATTGAAAATGAAGTTAAAGCAATTGATTACATGCAGTTATTAGTTGAATACAGATTTAATTTATCCACATTAGTCCTCGCTCTCACTAACAATAAATTGTGTTTGGTTGGATACTTTTGAACTTTACAAATAGGAGGGACTTTGTCCATATCTTAGGATGTGCATTGGCTATATGTCTTAATTACTTTCTGTGAGTAAGAAAATGCCAGTTTTCTCCCCAAGAGAACGTATGTTCACTGAACAGAGTACTGTAATCTAGATGGGCTGGATGTCAGGAGATGTGAGTTCTGGTGCATTTCCGTTCCGTTGGCTGGTAATACTGCCTGTAACAGTTGGTATAAACTCTCTCAGCCCCTTCTCAACTGCCACATGATGTTGATTAGGCTTGTTTACTTTCTCCACATTATTGTCATGCTCAGTAGAAGACAGTGGTGTGAGAGAACCTTGAACACTCTGACAGACTATGTAGTAATAAAATGATGGGGACCATATTGCTGAGGTAACAGTGAAATTTAATAATGAGAAGGGAAATCTTGTTGGGTTGATGGACATGGTCTGAGACCAGCTTCCTAGTCTAGCCCTGACCTCAGTCAAGGCTCACAACCTCATTTGCCTCAGACACCTTAATTCTAGCTAGGGGAAGATAATCCCCACCCTGTCTACTCTACTAGATTATTAATAATAATGCTTGTTAAAAACAGTACAAATTTTGAAGTACAAAGACTGTTAACGAGTCAGATTAGTAGTAATCTAATCTTTATCTTCAAACATTTTTTAATGGATATAAACAGTTGACAGAATAACAACATTGCTGTTGTTTTTCATTTTTTTTTTTAATTTTTTATAAATAAACTTTGTATGTGACTTTTCAAAATGTGTTTGATCAACCTGGAGAGTATGCAGTAACTTTTTGGTCTTGGTTTTCTTTGTTTTTATTTCAGATTAAGGATACTTGGCACCAAGTTTATAGAAGACATTTCTTAAAAACAGCTCTAAACCATTGTAACCTTTGTCGAAGAGGCTTCTATTACTACCAGAGGCATTTTGTTGATTCTGAGGTAAGGTTTCCAAAAGCAAGGAGAAATGTTTTTTAGTGATAGTTGTTTAAGTGCTTAGAAGTAACCTTGTTCAGTTCAGTCGCTCAGTCATGTCCGACTCTTTGCGACCCCTGTGAACTGTAGCACACCAGGCCTCCCTGTCCATCAGCAACTCCCAGAGTCCACCCAAACCCATGTCCATTGAGTCGGTGATGCCATCCAGCCATCTCATCCTCTGTCGTCCCCTTCTGCTCCTGCCCTCAATCTTCCCCAGCATCAGGGTCATTTCAGATGAGTCAGCTCTTCACATCAGGTGGCCAGAGTATTGGAAGTTTCAGCTTCAACATCAGTCCTTCCAATGAACACCCAGGACTGATTTCCTTTAGGATGGACTGGTTGGATCTCCTTGCAGTCCAAGCAACTCTCAAGAGTCTTCTCCAACACCACAGTTCAAAAGCATCAATTTCTTCATGAAAATTTTGCTTTAATTCTTTAAAGAACTGTATAAAGTTCTTAAAATGGACAATTGCAGTTTAATGTCACATTTTACAGAGTAACCCCTAGGTGGCAGTGAGCGTGTTAGTTGTTCAGTTATCTGACTGTGACTCCATAGACCTAGGAAAACCCCTAGGTGGCAGTAGACTAATGCATTTGAGAATTTTCGTGCAAGCAGAAATAAATGCTTTTCAAAGTATACTGAAAGAGCTCTGTTAATCAGCAGTCCTATTTGAGATCCATAAAATGCTTTTCTTTTGAGCAGCTTAAAAGAAAATTTTTGTTTAAATGTGACAATGTAAAAATTGACAAGTTTTTTTTGCATCATTTTAATTGTTGGAATGTGGCTTCCCCAGTGGCTTAGTGGATACAGAATCTGCCTACAATGAAGGAGACATAGGAGACGCGGGTTCAATCCCTGCATTGGGAATATCCCCTAGAGGAGGAAATGACAACCCACTCCAGTTTTCTTGCCTGGAAAATCCATGGACAGGAGGTTGGCGGGCTACAGTCCATGGGGCCGCAAAGAGTCAAGATACAGCTGAGCAACTGAGCACACATGCAACTAACCCACAATTATTGGAAAGACCTCTCTGTGTAGAATAAGCTTTATTTCTTCCTCTTTTGAGAAGCAGCATGCTAGATTTTTTTTGAAGTATAGTTTATTTTACAAGATTATATTAGTTTCAGGTACACAGTATAGGGATTCAATATTTTTATAGATTATGTTCCGTTTAAAGTTGTTATGCTGTGTTTCCCTGTGCTGTACAATATATTCTTGTAGTTTGTTTATTTTATACATAGTTGTTTGTACTTCTTAATCCCTATCCCTCTTTTACTCCTCACCCAGAGGATAAGCTTCTTTTTTAAAATATCACTAATTTATTTTCATATGCAAGTGAATTTCAAAAATGGCTTGTGTGCACATTCAAAGAAAAGAGGTTAGCCTGAGGACATATTTAAGGTACTGTGATTGTTAGTTGAAACTAAATGCTAATTAAGGATGTATTTTGTGGACTTCTGTTTGTATAGAATGTAACGAAATGCTCTACCTCCCAAGTTTACTTGGCTTTGTCATTGAAATCAAAACTTTTAGCTGTGCAGCAGATAAAACCCAAATCATGCAGAACTTCATGGATCCTATACAGAAAAAAATCACTAGGTTCTCTCTATAAGAGGAATATGTATATTAGGTAAAATCCGAATATTTTTATTGAATCATAAGATGTAGGTGCTGACTTTAGTAGTTGTATGGGTTCGTGATTGTGGTTTCATTTTTAAATTGCATCTGGTAATCTTAATCACCTCATATTTCAGTTGGAATGCAATGATGTTGTCCTGTTTTGGCGAATACAGCGTATGCTTGCTATCACCGCAAATACTTTAAGACAGCAACTTACAAACACTGAAGGTAAGCCACAGAGGCACTGCTTTCTAATTTGACATCAAAAATAACCGTAATGTTCATTTTAAATAGAAGGATGCCCAAATACTTCCTGAAAATTAGATTTATTAAAAAATCAAAAATAATTTACCTTTAAAATATTAATGAAAATAAAATCATAATTGAGAAATATTGAAAATAAACATACCAGGAGTCTTTATTACCCAAAAACTCTGTTATTAAAGGTGTGCTAGGCATCACTTAGGATTTGGGGAAATCCGTACTTCCGTGAAAGTATTAGGGCTTAAGAAGAAGACTGTCTCTGAGAATATATAAAGTAATGTATATCAGGTAGAGATTCTCCCTATAACTGAGAAGTCTGAACTTAATAGATTTACCATGATGAGAAAAATAAGAACTTGCTCTCCATATATATTGTTGACTTTGTCATTCTTGTACGTTCGTAAAAATGGTGCTTCTTGTGTTCCTTTATTTGCTTTAAACAGTCAGGCGATTAGAGAAAAATGTTAAAGAGGTATTGGAAGATTTTGCTGAAGACAGTGAGAAGAAGGTAAAATTGCTTACTGGCAAACGAGTTCAACTGGCCGAAGACCTCAGTAAGTAATCCTGCCTGCCCTCCATCTCAATGCCTTTTCACCTTCCGCATGTCCATTTATTTCTCCATTTCATTTTAAACTTACAGAAGAGTATATGCAAAAAGCTTTTTTCCCTTGAACTGTTTGAAAGTTGCTGTCTTAATGTTCCATCAGTTCCAAATATTTTAATGTGTGTTTTTTAGAAACAAGGATTTTCTCCTAGCAACCATCAAAATCAAGATTTTAACAGCAAGGATAAATTACTACATCTGATATTTAGACTCCATTCAAGTTTCACCTGTTGTCCTTATGTTGTCCTTCCATATCACAAGATACTCCATATGCATCTTTTGTTTTCCCTGACCCAGCTTCCCTTTTTTGTAGAATGATATTTAGAAATCACAAAGAGCCGGACACAACTGAGCGACTAAGCACAGCACAGCCTTTAGAAATCAAGAGCTGGGAACTAGATACATTTATTGTTGCTGAAATATCACTGTTCCCAGACGCGCTCAGGGGAGCAAGGGAACAAATATGCATGTGTGTCTGTGTGCACATATACACACATTTATATCTATTTCTAATCATGTGTCTATATTGAAAACCATCAGTTGACACCAGTACTTTCGATTTTAATCTAATAATACTGAGCTCATTCTAATTTTCTCTTTTTCTGTATTTTTGTTTAAAATATTTATTTATTTAGCCACATCAGGTCTTAGTTGTGGCACACGGGCATGCAGGACCTTTTGCTCTGGTTTGCAGGCTCAGCAGTTGTGCCATGAAGGCTTAGTTGTCCCACGGCATGTGAGATCTTAGTTCCCCAACCGGGGAACAAACCCCCATCCCTTGCCTTGGAAGGCAGATTCTTAACCACTGGACCACCCAGAGAAATCTCCCCTTTTCCATATTTATAATTCCTTTTTCTGACAGAATTCTGGCTCTTAGTGTCCTTAATATATTTATTTTCATCAGTCCTCTTACATGTAACTAAACTTGGCACTGTCCCCTTCATTGCTCAAATGTCCTCACCCAGCTCAGGTTCTCCTCACCTGACTCCAGGCCATCACCACAGTTCCTCCTCCTGTGTTAATACCCTTTCCACCTCATCTCGGCTGTGACATTCTGTGCCAGGATGCCCTTCCTCATGGAGTCCTTTTTACTGATGTCATGCTCTGACACTGTCTCTCCTCGTTCTTCCTGCTCCCTATCCAGCTACACAAGGACTCTTCCTCACCTGAATCCCGAACATGCTTTTGTAGAGATACCATTTTTGTCTGCCTGTGCTTTGGCACTTTGCACTGCCTGCCTACCCTCCTCCACGAATCCTTTCCTCACTACTGGGTAGGTCACCACACCCCCACATGAATACCCTCTTAAGCTTGTACTGGCTTTAACACATACACCAGGACGATATGGCTCCCTACCCTCAGCCCCCAACCTCGCTGGGCCTTACTCATCATTTTGTCACTTTGTTTTTAGGGCATAGGGGTCGAGGTTCTTTCCTGGGTGCTAGTGAATTCCTCACTTTAAGCTGTTTGGATTTCATGTTAAGATTTACTTAGATACTTCTGAATCCAAGGAAATCGGTGAAAGATTTATATTATTAAATAAAAATACTAGTGATCAGTGCTTCTGTTTGTATTAACCTTGTAACAAGTTTCCCTTATTTCAGCTTCATGAAACAGTAGTTTTTCCTTTCAATGTATACTTAGCTTTGCTATCTATGAATTTTCTGATGTCCAGAAGATAGCACATGCTCAACAGAAAGCAGTTACTCAAATCTGAAAACAGTTTCTGAGCTGATGTGTAGCACTACAACACAGTCCCCAGAACATCCAAGAAAAACCCGGCAGTTTTCCAGTCTCCTCCCTGTGCCGGAGCAGTGTGTCCTCCACTGTTTGTCCTCTCCTCTCTCCTCCCAGCTTACCTCAGCTGCTTCTTTCTTTCTCCTTGCCTTTTCCTTCTTTTCTTTAGGTAATCTTTCTTTGATACATATCTCACTTTAACTTTTGTTTCCATCTCCTGTTGTTCTTCTTCCAGTTTTTCATGCCACTTCGGAAGAATAGTTAAGTTTGTGCTAACTCACAGGTCTGTACTTAAATCTGAACTACCATGTGCTTTGTTGTCATTGTTCAGTTGCTCAGTGGTATTCTGACTCTTTGCAACCCTATGGACTACAGCAAGCCAGGCTTCCCTGTCCTTTACTATCTCCCGGAGTTTGCTCAAACTCATGTCCATTGAGTCGGTGATGCCATCCAACCATCTCATCCTCTGTCTCCCCCTTCTTAGGCAGGCTATCTCCCACAACCTTAACTTCCTTTGAAAGAGTGGTACTGCAGTAGTACTTTTTTTTTATAGGATTGTTAGGGAAATTGTTTCAAAAAAGATTTGTAAGTTCCTGGTTCATAATTTTATGCTGAATTAGTACTGTTCAGGAAGAGATGTATCAGTTTCACAATGTATACAGATCTATTTCTTTTGTGTCTCTCAAGAAATAGTTATCAGACAGTGAAGTACTTCCATGTGTTTTACCTGAATATGCATTCTTAAGTGATTAGAAAATGTGTCTTTTCTCAAGTTTTAGAATAGTCTTCTTTTTAAAAAATATTTATTTACTTGGCTGTGCTGTGTCGTAGTTGCAGCACGTAGGCTCTTTAGTTGGGGCATGCAAACTTTTAGTTGGCGCGTGTGGGATCTAGTTAACCTGACCAGTGTAACCTAGGCCCCTGCATTGGGAGCTTGGAGTCTTAGCCACTGGACCACCAGGGAAGTCCCTTTAATAGACTCTTATGTAACCCCATCACTTTTCACTCCCAATTTGATTATTTAAAGAAAGTGTATTGCTAACACAAATTTGTGTACTGTCAAGCCAATTATTATGTTTTCCTGCTGTTTTTCCTGAAAAAGTATTCATATGACTCCCTTGAAATGACTTACCACTTTTGTGTGTGTGTATAAATATATAATTATCATAATGTTTATGTACCAAATAATGTCCTTGGAAGCAAGTGTTTGACCAGTGACTCAGCCTCATCAGTCACACTAAAGGAGATGAGACATGACTTTGTCCATTAGTTGAAAAAGAATCTTGAGAGTACTTTTTCCTTACTGTTTATCTTCAGTCTAACACTTGGGAATATGGTCATGGATACTTTCAGCCAGAAACTTTCAAAGTTTAATGGTTACTACTGTATTACACAGATCAGAGTTCCTAGTATAGCATATTTAATTAGAATATGTTAAGTTGGTTAATGAAATTTAAAGAAAGGAAGGCAGATAGGGCTTTTGTTTTGTTTTTTACAATTTGAAATGGATACAGGATGAAATATTATAGAAATTGGTACAAGTTTGATGCATCATGTATTTTGCCAGGCTTAAGCTTGCCCATTTTCAAATCATTTCACCACTTTACTTCGGAGGTTCAGCAACTGATTATACTTTAAGATGATTACATAAAAAGTAGTGTGATGTTCTTTCATTTTAAGAAGAGGTACCACTTTCAATATTGAAATGAAGCCACAAAACTAGAATTAGAAAGATGAAAGAAGAGTTTGCCTCTTCTAGTCTTAGGAGGCTCATCAGTTGAGGAGTCATACAAGGAACCCAGACTCTAGAAACAGTGGATTCCATCGTGGAACAGGGAGAGGTCAGGAGGACCCTGGGGCATCTTGAGGATGTAGAAAGTAAGGAAGTAGTTGAAGGATGATAGGGACATGTCAACAAGATACAGAAGCCAACATGCAGAGGCTCCTGCTAGCCAACACTAGGACAATTTGGGCATCAAAGTAAAAAAGGATGGTGCAAGGAAAAAAGAGTAACTGTATGTTGAAAAAGACTGGTAATAACCACCTTAATCAAGCGGTTAAAATAATAATATCAGTAATGGTCAGATCAGAACTATGTGCTACCTTAGAGAATTCAGTGAGAAGAACCCAGTGTCACTTCTGTGATTTTCTTACCAAAGATGTATGACTTAAATTCAATCATGAAGATACATCAGAAAAACCCAAGTTAAAGCACAGTCTACAAAATAGCTGGCTGTAATCTCTTAAGTGTATCAAGATCATGGGTGACAAGGAAAGGCTAAGGAATTGTTCCAGCTTGAGGGAGACCAAGAACAGGAAAACAAAAGACAATTTATGTGATGCTGAGCTGAATCTTTTTGCTCTGAAGGATGTTAATGGGACAGTTGGTGGGGACCTGAGGGTTACATGGTAGTCATATGTCAACATTATCAATTTTTAAACTTTGTTTGTTAGATTGAGATTATTTAGGGAAATAATCTTATTTGTAGCTAACACGCAATGCAATTGGGGCTTATGAGGCATAATGACAGTAAATGATTCAGGAAAATTATGCTCTTTGTGGTATTCTTAAAACTGTTTCCTAAGTCTGAGAAAAGGATAAAAAAGGATATATCCTGATACAGGATCAGGGATCATATGAAAATAATTTAGAGAAAATGAGGCTTTTGAAAACATCATCTCTGAAGATGTTGAAAGATTGGGTCACCTCATGGACAATTTAATAAAATACATAACTGATCTTTCCACCTTAATCCCTTTTTTGCAATGTCTACTCATATTCAGAACTACCCAGTATCCACTATGACATTGATGAAATGCTTTTGATTTTGTAGTGAATATTTTCTCAGGATTTCTTTTTTATAGATATTTAAGTACAACATTAATTTAGATAAAATCCATTTGGATTCCCAGCATAATTTTTAATAGTGTGTCCTATCTATTTATTGAAATAGACTGCAATTTTAAAACGCCTTCTTTGGAGAGGGAAAAAGAAGCATGTTATATAGCTCATTTCAAAATTTTTCTATAATCTGATTTATAAGATCTATTTTGTGATTGTTATTATATAAAATAATATTGCTAACTCCTCGTAGACTTTTTTTTTTCGGGGTTTATTCTCGACTCCAGCCTGGAAACTGAATGTCTGGGCACTGGTAACAGCTGCTGGTGGTGTTGCTAAACTGCGTTTCATCAGTACAGCACGGGATTCTT